CTTCAATGTTTGAAGGCTGACAGGATAAGATCCAAAATGAGGAAGGTGAGCATGCATGAGGTATGCAGAAGTACAGTTCTTTTAAAAATCCAAAATGCTCCAGTGAGAACCGAGCATGCTCAGTGCTTTTCAAGATTCCAGGAATGTTGTTGGCCTTCTTGAGCCCCTCACATCTTATATCTCTGGCTGGCTGCAAACATGAAAAGGACTGTACCTGTTAGAGTGTGAGAATACACTGAAGCAGATTCCACATAGACTTGACACTTGCTGCCAGCTACTGTGAATATCCAGGTGGTTGCTGTGGCTTACCATGGCATGCGAATCCAGCACAGCGTTGCTTGTTGCTGTGGTCAACAAACCAATCCCAACCTTACACCAGTCCACTGGCCATAAGTGATTGGTTGGCCATGGCAACAGCCTGCCCTCGTTAGGTTCGGATGTCAGAATAAGCTGCAGTAGCCCCCATTCAATGAATATTCACATTGATTATCAGTGTGTATCACAACCCACCATGGCTTAAACAGTGGGCTGCAGAAATTGTGTAGACTGAATCATAGAGTTCAATGGGGGTGACTCCTGCATGGAATTGCAGTCTAAACACTGTGATGCCTTTTAATTTTATGTTTTGCTGATTTTATCACATTCAAGGCTGATTCAAAGAGAAATTACATTTCAAGGGTATATGTGGGGGAGAGAAGCTGACACTTCCCTCAGATATCCACAATCCTTTGCACAAACTTAATTTCAAGGTCTGTTGAAGATTGCATTTAGCTGCATTTTTTTAAAGCATTGGCTTAATTTCTGAGGCAGATGTGTGAAACTGAAAAAGACGAACCTTTTGCTGTGAGGATAGCCTTATGCCTAGTCCTTAAATGTTCAGTCTAGCATCATGTCTCCCTCCCCCAGCCCTGCTGCAGAGCTCAGATGATGCACAGAACAGCTACCCCTGGTGTGCTTCAGTAGAGACTGTTCATTCTCTTAAGGTATTAGGGCAGCTCTTAATTCAAGAAGACCGAAGTTCATCCAAATTAAATACACCTGCATTTATAGAAAGGGAAACTGAGGCCCTGATGAGAAATTCAGCTTTGATTGAAGGATCTATTCATCCCTTTTTAATTGCAATGCAAAAGGATGGGAAGGATAAAAACAACACAATCAAGAAGGAGATTTTGCTGTGTAATTCTATGCATCCTTACTCTGAGAAATTTAATGGGCCTTAGCTTTCTCTCAGGCATGTGTGGATAAGATTGAAGCCCGTGTCTTTCATTCTGCTGATGCATGATGTATAGGTATGGAGAGATCTGGGTTTTTTACTGCTGGCAAGAATACCCCGCGGCTAAAGTTCTGCTCACTGGATGGCACTGCCAGCAGAAGGGGCGGGAAGGATATTTTCATTGATTCACCCTTCCTGCAGCCTCTTCTGCCTTTGAAAATCTGCCTAGAGGGCTAGAGAACCTACTGGAAGAGCAGGAGGGGGACTACATGAGAAGAGGGGAAGTATCAGGAATGGCTTCCCTTTCCCTTCCTGTCAGTGGAATCCTACTTGGACCCCAGACCTGCCCACCACTAATGTGTAATAAGAAATGAAATTGATGATTACATTACACCTTTATCACACCTTTTCCCTCCTGTGAGGAACCCAAGGGGCCCTTACACAGCTCCACCATGACAGTAACCTGTCAGGTCACTTGCCCAAAGTCACCTAGTGACCTTTACGGCCAGGTGGGGACTAGAACCGGAATCTCCTAATTCCCTAGTCCAGTGCTCTAACCACTACACAACACTGCCTCACAGACCATACCACACTTTTATTAATTTATTAAGTTAAACAAAAAATACAGTGTGAAAAGGCCAGGAAAGAGATAAAATAGTCAGTTCACATAGCTAGCATGAGCAATCCGTTTATGATGTCTGGGCAAACAAATGTGTTTTGACGTGGCCCAACAACTGGTAAGTCCTTCTGCCTTTGCCTTGCCGCCCCCAGCATCACGTCACAGAGCAGATTGTAGGAGGAATCATGGGCTGTTGCACAGAGGGGGAATCAGTCAAAACTCTTTCTTCGGCTCCGTACATAGGACCATCCAGTTCATGGAATTCCTCTTGGCCCAATTCTAGATCCAAGCCATTGTTTTGGGAACGACTCCCAGAGGAGTGTGAGCTCAGTGAAATCTTCCTCAAATGAAATTGGATTTAGTCATGCCCGCCGCCCCCCCCGCCCCCATCCACCACACACACACACACACACACACACACACACACGACAGACCATGAATTAAGAAATGCCGCCTTGGTAACTGTACAGCAGCCTTTCCTGTTCTGGCGCTTTCCAGATACGTTGGACTGCAATGCCAGTCTTTCCCAGACAGCATGCTGCACAAAATAATATAATCAAAATAGCAGTCTGTACCTAATAACATAATGGCAGGGTTTAGGCATTCGTGGGGAAAAGAAGCTACAATTCTGCACCGCATAATTTGCGTAATTTTCCTTGCAGCATGAGGCTTGCCACGCTATCTGAACCCAGCAAAATGCACAGCAGGGATGGCTTCCAAACCACCCTAAACCAAAGGGTTGTTATACGGATCTCTTCAGACAACATGGGAACCCACCATGGGAATTATAGTCCAGTGTCTGGAGGACCATGGGCTCTCCAAACCTGAGCTGTCACCTTTATTTTTACCATGGAACGGTGTAAGCTACAGTCCAACAACCTCGAAGGACCATAGATTCCCCAGTCCCCCTTACTCAGAATTACCACTCTATCTTTGTACTATTTCTATACTTCCATTTTAAATAAAAATCCTAAAAGGTTTCCAAATAAATATTAAAATCGCATCTAAATTATAATTTTAAAAAACAACAATAAAAATCAATAAAATGATCATAATATGGGAAATAGGGGTGCAATACAATGGAACATCATGGTTAATTATATCAGTGCTTTTCCATTAACACCTGTTTGTTGACAACTAGAAAATAATCAGATCGAGTTTTATGCCTCCTTCAATGTCTGCGGCTTAAAGCAAACAGAGCCCCATCAAAGGGGAAAACACTGGAAATCCTGTGGGTTGTTGAGGCTGAACAGAAAATTAATGATTTTCCCAAGTCTGTAAAAAAGAAACAAAACTAAAAAACAGACTCAACAGAGGTGGGTCTTGAACTCTGCTTTCCCAGTTCTAAGGCAACTTTCCACTAGCCAGTACTGTTTCTATACTGGCATCACAATGGGGAGAAATGTCTTTTCTTTAACAGAAATTCATGATACTCAACAAAGACTTGATGTGCTGAAATAAAAGGGCATCCCATGAATAAAAGACCACAGGCAACCATGGAAGGATTCAGCAATTTTGAGTAATACCCACTAGAATAACTGGACTATTTTGGTATGTTGATTCAATGAAAAAATAATTCATTATCCAATATTGTATACACATGGGCTGTGAAGAAGCCAGAGTAGGCTGGCTCTTATTGGTTGATAGGTCTTAGGGACCTATAAAGAAAGTTATTGCTTCCAACAAATGTTCCAGTTTGCTTCAATGTTTGGTGAAGTGCTCTGAAGCTAGGTCATTCATACTAGAAGGGCATCTTGAGAACTCTCTCTTCTCTAGACTCCCATTTAAATTATCACTACCTAGAAATCCCCCTTGTTTAATGAATAATGTTATGGGGATACATATGGATGTTATATGATTTTTTAAAATTACACAAGTTACTTTGGTTTACATTTTAAACATTAAAATCTAGCTTTTGTAGCATAACAGGTAATGTATGCATTGGAGTCTGATTAGCAGAGGTGGAGCTGACTGAGGCAGCAATCAGGGGTAGCCCTTTCAGACCACTTGACAGCATACAAATATAATAACAATAAATAAATATATCAGTGCAATGTATGGGACAGAATGCTGAACTGGGTGGGACTTGAAAAATTGGGGTTCGAGTCCCCACTCAGCCATGAAGCTCACTGGGTGACTTTGGGCCAGTCAGGGTGTCTTAGCCTCACTGGATAAAATGCAGAAGAGGAGAACCACAAATGCCACCTTGGGTTTCTTGCAAGAGGCGGAAAGGTGAGTATAAATGTAAGGTAATAACACTTACCTTAGTTAAGAAGAAGAGGAAGAGGAAGAGGAAGAGGAAGAGGAAGAAGAAGAAGAAGAAGAAGAAGAAGAAGAAGAAGAAGAAGAAGAAGAAATGCTTGACATGGTTAGGGGGCTGTACCTTGCAAAATTTCAGAACTGTTTGCAAACCAGTCCTATCCATGTTTTTTCTTGAAGCAAGTATTGATTTCAGTGGGGCTTCCTCCCAAACAAGGGTAAATAGGTATGCATCTTGATCCTCCACATGCATCTGTGAGTAAGAATCGCCATGTTCAGTGCAATTTACTTCCACATGTTAACTGCAATTTGACACATATCTGTCTGCATGCTAGATACTGGTGCAGCTCGGGCTGGACCTTGGGGACCCCAAAATACAATTCATAAGGCAGCTAGTGATGGGGGCATCGGAAAACTAGACTCCTTTATTCTGACTGGTAAACGTTTTAAAGTTTGGGGGTAGTTGATTGGGCATGTGCACTATTGCAGATGATCTATTATGTTTACTTGTGTATATGAATATGTACTTTTGTACATGAATATGGGAGTTTATCTCCAAGTAAATGTCTTCGCCAGCAGCAGTAGACCCCATTTTATTCCTGTCTTTGTAACAGTGTACTCATTTTAGTGAGCTTAAATGACAAAACTGCACATGCTCAGAGTTTTTCTTTCCTAATCAGTGTTGGCAAACGGTTTGTCTGGTTTGCTCTATCTTATCAGGAACGTAGACCCGCTGCGGATGACAAAAGAAATGCAAGTCGTACACTCCGCAAATAGGCTATCTAGGGTGGGTGAGAGACAGAACAATAACTCTAACTCCTAGTCTAAGCTCGCAAGAGCGGCCTGAGCGCCGCATTGCATCCTGGAGACTGTAGTCCTAGACATCCCTGCTGTGCAGAACCCCGCGGAGTTAAGTGAAGGGGCGCGGCTTCGCGGCAGCCCTGTGGCGGAAGTGCTGAGCGCGGGCGCCCCTCAAGCGGGCAGGCGGGTGGCTGGTGAGCGGCTCCGTTTATATCCTCGGGGACGGCTAGTGGGGCTGGCGGGCGGGCGGCTGCGTCTCTTGAGAGGCGGAGTGGGGAAGCTGGGCTCCACGCGGGCCCCTCGCTTGACCGGAATGCGGCGGTCTCAAACCCGAGCAGGCGGGCCTGCTGGCCGGCCAGTCCCAGGAAAGGAAGCCCGAACTTGGGCTTACGCTGCAGGCTTAATTCGTAGCCTCACAAAGTCGGGCTAAAGTCGGCTTGCACACTTAAGTAAGGGGACAGAGCAGTGAATACCAGCGTCTTCCTCTCCCCACTAAAACGTAGCAAGTCCTTTTACCCCTGATCTTAACATGTGTAAATTTTTTATTGAAAAAACGAAACCACACATTTTATTTTTAGGTATTAGATACGTATGCCACATTTTAAAATCTCTAAGTGGTTTACAAGAAAATGTAATTATGTAAGATATACATTCAAATACAATTAAAGTACATCATTACAGGCAGAACCCCTCTGCATGCGATAATGTTGCACAATGCGGTTGAAAGATGGGTTTTGGCTGGGGTAGGATAGGCAGGGGAGTAGATGTAAAATAAGATTGATTTTTGTTGCAGTTTAAGGACTTTGCGGGGGATGTTTGTGTATATTTGCAGCCTGCAAATCACTGTCCCGATGTGCTGGCTCTGCTAAATTCAGCAAAATCCTCCCCCAACTTCTCATTTGCTTGATTTCTCTGAAGAGTAAAGGAAAACGAAATGCATAGGCATTGGATTGTAATGTTTGTGTTGTAAAGTTGTTCGATACTATTTACTCTCAGAATTACACCATTGCAGTTTTAGCAAAATAACAGGATAACATTGCAAGGCTATGTCTGTCCTGTGTCTCCCCACTGTTGCTTCTTCCTCCATTCTATATGGGGATTATGTATGAGAATTTTGGACTTGACAGGACATATTTAAATATCTTTGAAGACCATATTTTTAAAACCTTAATTATTACACATGAGTTAAATATAACACTTTTTATCACTTCAAGGAGGTCATTTGGGTAAACTTTCACACCTATACTAAAATCCTGGGTTTCTCCATTGTCTTTTATGGAAAGCTCTCACCTTTGCACCAAAAGGTGGTTTAAAAAAAAATGGCTTCCAGTATACATGAATACATTCCTTATCCAAACAACAGACGGAGTACAATGCTATTCCTAACAGAGAATCTTGTGGCTTCTTGAGGACTAACAAATTTAACTTGGGTATAAGTTTTTGTGAACACAAAGCACTTTATCTGCTATTTTATTATCCCTGTGTTTTTCCTTTCTATAGCACAGTTCAGGAGGCAGGAGGATGCTTAGGCTTTTTCTCAAGAGGTACCACTTTAAGGCTGGATTATTAAGCCTTAATGGAACCTAAGCCCCATTTTCTGGGAGTTACTACTGGAGCTAACTGCTGAAGATGGGATTTTTGTGGATGAAGATAACCAGTCCCTTTTTCCTTGTGGTCCTCTTTTATATTTTCTATTAGTTTGGCCATCCCTTTCCAGAATACAGCCACTTCTTGCTCCTATCACCTGTGCATAAGTGTTTGACTATGAAGAAATAAGATGGCAGAGCTGTCAGGCTCTTCTTTGAGGCTTTCCCAGCAGTCCTGCTAGCTTTCAGCATCTTTCAGTAAAAGACGTTGAGCATATACTTAGAGCCTTTCCATCCATCTGTTTATATTTTCCTCATTTCCAGGATGCATGACTAATATTGTACAATTTCTGGGGCGTAAGTAAGAAATGATGATATGCCTTTGTAATCTTTGTAAATGGTCCATCATGCTTTAGTTATTAGGGGCTATAAGAAATGAAACAAATGCTAAACTATAAGTCCAGCTAAAAAATCATCCTGATGTTTCAAGGGTGCTATGCTTGGAATTTAGAATGCTAGTCAAAAGTCATTGCAATTAGTCATTTTAACATCTCTGACCTATAAAATACATGGGAGATATTGGGTTCTTAGCTAATACAAGGTCAGAACTACACTAAACTTTTTATATCAAATAGAAATATAGATAGGTATAGAAATCAAATGAATAAATAACATCTGTTTTCAGATACATGGCGAAGGATAACTAGACAGCTGTAAATAAATGCAAACTTGATACTGTTGGGGTTGTATTCAAGAAGTGCAAAACATCAAGCTATCACTTTTCTATAACTTCATCACAATTTATACCACTGCAAAAGACGCAGTTACTAAGCAAATAATAATACTTATAATGATACTGAAATTTAGCTGGATGCCAATCATTATGTAGCCAGTGCATCAACCAGATAAAAGAGGGGTGGTGTCAGATACTTATAAGAAACTCAGTAGAAAACTTTTTGAGGAAAATTATTCTGGGCGGATGATAACAGAAATTAGCTAAACTAGATGTGTGTGGACATGTTGGATAAGGGGTAGAAAAAGTACAAAAGTACTTCTGATTCTAAAAGTACAAGCCCACTTAGTAAAACTTCCAGCTCAAACTATGAGCCAGATTCAGACAGCAAAGGAGAAATGATTGTATTGGCTTATAGAGAAGGCAGGGAGAAAGCAGAAAACAAAGGACACCGGTAGGACAGGGGAACAAATGAGGACAGGAGATGAGGATAAAGTGAGGCTCATATAGAGCATAATTTTTCTTGCAGCCCCCACTTGTATATAATAATTCTACTCACGTTAGTCTGGCTCTTAAAATAAGAGTGTTAGTAATGGAAAGAAACTTTATTGACTGAAAACCCATAATTTCACCTGGAGTATCGTGATCTTTACCAGGGCTTGCCAGAGATGCCTTAAATTATTAGCAGTTTGAAATTGTTCTGCCTTCTCCAATGGAGGGAGGGGAAATGGCTTGTATTAATCAGTGGTGGCAGCTAAAGATAGCACCTGGTTGTCTCCATACTGAGCAATAAGCAGCTTCATAGTTCGTGCTTTTATATAAACTAAAGAAATAAACAGACTCACAGCATTCTCTCCTAGGATATAGATGAATCTTTTTCCTTTTGTCCATGCTGCACAGTGTTTATAGTCTTGACTAAGAGCAGCTCTCCAAGGCCTTAGCAAACTTTATTTCACCACTCTATTACTTAAGCTTTATTTACTGGACATGCCAAGTCCCTAACCTGGGACCACCTAATACAAAAGAGGCTGCAACCATTGCTGGGTTTAAACTACTATTCCTAGTCATAGTCTAAATGTGGTTACATCCAATTTGAAGAGTCAAACATTATGAAGTGTTGTATTAGCACATGTTTATTGTTTTTTTCATATTCATTACAGATAAACAAATGAAAGGATGGCTAAAGGTGCACAGAAGATCGTTAAAATCTAAAATATTTGCTCTTGAATAGTATGAGCATTTCATGATATGCTCAGAACATAGAGTACTTTCCAGAGATGCTAGCTTCCTTACTCAGCTGCCCAACAAGAACATTTACTGCTGTTTTCACAATTGTACCCATTAAATTAAAATGTTGGTGTGTTCTGGAGAATTAAATAATTAGCAGAGCTAACTGTTGTGCATGGCCATTGGGAAGACAATGTCCCTTACTCGAGTTGAAAATCCTTGCTTTCTGATGTTCTTGATAATCGCTCAAGCAATATTCATCTTGATACTGTACCGAGGCAGGACTTCAGTTGAATTTAAGCATTACTTTGATCAACCGAAGCAATTGGACTATTCAGTAAGAGAGGACGTCTATACAAATCTCAGTTTGTACACTCATGCTCCTGATAAGATGACTATACGATACTGCACGCCACAGTCACCAATACACGGTATGTATAAAATGAAAGCAGTGCACAATATGGATCCTTATGGTTTCCCAATGCCATTGTCATAGGTTGATTTGGGTTAGTGAAGCCTGATGATTTGATTAAGTCAACTGTGAAGCTAACTTTAGTATGCAAATTTCAGGTAATTGTTATCCTGGGATAGGCCCCCAGTTGTGACCAGATGTGGGAAAGCATTTTCCATTGTGTTAATTCCAATCTTTTAATCTTGTACTTCAATAAAATTGATAGAGATTGTGACACACAGTGAGTTCCTTCCTCCCCTTAACACCCTGGTTTTAGTGTTTTCCGGTGTTGGGGTTGCAAAATATCCTATCCATTAAATAACGTGTATACTTCTGGTTTTGTGCTTTGAGTCAAGAGACAACACATTCTTGTATCAAGTATTGTTTTGCTCTTGAGTGGACAATTCTTAGAAGTATTAATTATTTGTATAAATTATATTTATACCCTGCCTTTTTTCCTTCCAAGGAACTTGGTAGCTTACATAATTCTCCTCCTCTTCCCTACCTGTGAGGTAGGTTGGGCTGAGAATCTGTGCCTGGCTGAGGTCCATGGTTGACCAGGGACTAGAACCCATATGTTAGCTTTGTTGTTTATTTGACTTGCATTTAGTAACCATGCTGAATTAGAAACTGAAATTTTGGTTTGGTAGAAATTGGTAGAAGCTGAAAATTTTCAGATGCAAATGACCTTACACAAATCAGCATAGGGAATTTTACATTTCAAAATATTCTAGAACATCCCCATCACTGTAAATAATAATTGTATAGTAGATACTTTTTTGTTTCCTACTAGGAGATGGTAAGATGTTAAGCAAAATGGATTCTGGAATGCTTGAAATTAGGGGTGGAAGAATGAGCAGTGATCATGCTTGACAAGATTCTTCCCATTCATTTTTCTTCAATTTGCACTCATGTTTGTGATTGGAGCTTATTTTGCATGAATAAGAACATTCTGCAAAATAGTGTGCTATTGAATGGTTAAGTTATTTACACACATTGCACAAATTGCATAGACTGGACATTTTGAGAAAGTTATGAGGTTGAGACTGGGCATTTTCAGTTAAAATGGACTGCTGTTTATATCCCGAACTGTAAACAAGGCATTTTGCAACATGAAATGAAATGTTTATATATCCCTACTTGAAGTGCTGTAGGGATAGTCAGTGTGACCTGTTTAGTGGGGGCTTTAGAGGGTGGATTAGGCAGTAATTTTTCTTATAGAATGGTCTGCTTATATCTATTGGGATCATTTTGTTGTATACCAAATTATATTTCTGAGATTTTCCCCATATTCTAGCAGTGTTAAATTGAGGCGCTTGTGCAAATTAAAGTACAGCTTCTGTCAAGCTAAATGATGGCAAACTGCTATTTTGATCTACATCTGAACTTGGAGTTTTGACCAAATCAATGACTCAAGTCAGGCAGTTGACTTGAAGAGCAGTTGCAGTTTTGTCCCCACAAGACACAGATGCAGAAGCAGGTAACGCCTAGTTGAATATGTTAGTTTATTGTATTCAAGTGTTCCATACTGGTCCTGCATGACAACTGTAGTAAGTGTTCCTTTTAGCACAGCTGATAGCCAGACTATATGCCCTAGACTAGAGCTTGTTGGATTCTAACTCTTAACTGCATTTTTGCTGTTAATCTGTTTCTCAGATCTTCTGAGAAAACCCAGATATATCTTGGCAAAAGCAAATAATACATCTTTGGCATGTTGTTGCTTTGCTGTTATACTAAAATGATCGGGCAAACATTTGACAACACAAGTTTTTATGCATAATGCCTTTGAGTCTTATCCTATATTTGTCTGACAAGTGCTCGTGATTATCCTTTCAACTTGGTGCTTTTTTAAGTTTAAGAAACTCAATGTTTGTTTGGATGGTAGACTTTATTTTTGTGCTTTGAGTTGCATATTTATTTCTTGTATCCCTTTGTGTAGCAAAGTAGAATATTGTATACAGTTCTGGCCACCACACCTGAAAAACAGCATTGACATTGGAAAAGGTGCAAGGAAATTCAGCTAAAATGATCAAGGAACAGCAATGCCCCATAAGAAACAGTTACAGCAGCTGGGCTGTTTACTTAGAAAAAGGGGAGTAAGACGAGACATAATAAAGGTGTATAAAATTATGTATGCTGTGGAGAGAGAGACATTTTTCTCCTTTCCCCATAATAGTAGAACCTAGAATCATTTGATGCAACTGATTGGTGGGAGATTCAGAACAGATAAAAGGAAGTATTTCTTCACACAGTGCATTCTTAAACTATGGAATTCACTGCCACAGGAAGTAGTGATGGCCATCAGTTCAGATGTCTTTAAAAGCAGATTGGACAAATTCATGAAGAAGGCTACTACTGAATGGCCTTGTTGGCTCTGTGCTACCTCCATTATCAGAGGTTGCATTTCTGTGTAGTCCAGTTGTTGAGGCGCTTGGACAGGCAGAAAACTTGCATCTTTCCTGCTTGAAGGACCCTGTGGGCAGTTGGTTTGCTACCATGTAAATATAATGCTGGATTGTTTGGATCATTGGTTTGATCCAGAATGGCTTTTCTAATGTAGAGTCTAAACAGACTTCTAGACCATACATATGGTCCTTTAGGGCGAGTGCAACCCCATCTTCTTGGGTGGATACCTGTGCTGTGGTTCTCCACATATTTGTTTTTTATTTAAAATCTATGTGTTCTTTCTTGTAGTAGTCATAAAATATAAAAGGTAGCAGCTTGCAGACCCCCTTCCTCCCCCCCCCCCCCCCCAAAAAAAAACCCCGCAGAAAAACTCCTTAATACTAAAAGTTTCCAGTGAACATGTTTGTATGTAATGCTAGGCCATGGTTCATTCTTCTGGGAATGTGACTAGGCTTTCCCTGGACTCGTTACTTTCCCCTCTTCCTTTAGCATTGCAACAAGGAAGGACTTCTTCCATTTTAGATTAACTGCAAGTTGCCATGATGTCCAAAACCAGACAAATGTGGCTAATTGTCACTATGCTCATTGTAAACAAGTCAACTTCAAAGTATAATTTGAAGCTTTTTGTTTTCACTAACCATAGTCACTGTTGAGGTTTCATACACCATACGCTAAACAGCAGATAATCAAAAAAGGGAAATGGAGCCTGCCAGGATCCTCACAGTTGTATGGCGGGTGTGGGGGGGAGATGTGCAGGGGAGGCTAATTTATGTTATGTACAAACAGTGAATATGACAAAGTGGTGTGGGAAGAAAAGAGAGGGAATTGTTCAGGCTATCTCAGCAACATAGTATTAGTTCCATAAAACTTCTGCAATTCATTCTGTTCAGTGATCGCAGTATTGGCAAATGCATTGTTAGCCAGCTGGAATATAGCTTCCTGCTGTCAGACTCTTGAGAGAAAGGTAGTATGTTTGCAATCCACCAGAGTGACACTTTCAGTCTTTCAATCACACTCTAGAAAAAGTAATATTTGACTCAATCGACATGGTTTAAGTCAGGCTGTGGGAGGGATTATGTCCTTTGTTTTTATATGCATTAAATGTCTAGGGTCCTCATTAGTTGTGGATAGGAATAACTTCATTTTCATACTCTTGAAAGTTAAGATCTGTAGGAGGTTGTCAGCTTTTTTTTAGATGATTCTACTCATGATTTTTACTGATGATTCAGTTTGTTTAGTTAATGCTGACATTTTCTGTGCTCACCTGGTCCACAACTATCACAGAGAGCTATAATTTTCAAGGTTCCTCCTCCTCCTGGAATCTCTGGGGTTTTCAGAGCAGAATGGATCCCTCCTAGTTGGTTCTTCATATTCAACTGTCTCTTCTCTTTCAGGTGAAGGTTCATCATATCTTAACCCCGACAGATACAGAAATATGTCTAGAAGTTTTTGATTATTAACAGTGTTCCCATCTAACTGTAATTCTAGTTTTTCTCCACTCATCCCTGAAGTACATTGGCAAATATTCGACTTCCATTTGTTACACAGGAGAGAAAAGAAAATTATTTTCCTCCTTGTTCACAAAAATGCTCTTGCTGAAATTAAGAAGGTGGTGGAGAACTAGTAATGGATAATTAGATAGATGGATGACTGCGAACTTGATTCAGTTCTAGTACTTAAAATGAATTGCAGAACTCAGACTCTTGATAGCAAATATACATCTTTCATTCCTGTATCTGATTGATGGATCTCTAGGTTCTAGTAAAAACACAGTGCATGAAGCATGAAGTCTGTCCCCTCCCCACCCACGTTGTTTAACATCTTCAGAACTTATGAGCCCTTTCCAGTTTTTCTAACACAGCTTTGAAATCTGAAGCTCCAAACAGGATATGTCACACAGTTGAGCAGTCGGAATTTAAATCAAAGTTAAATCTTATAACTGTGTTGAAAGAATGCAGTTTTTCTGTTTTGAGTGCTGAAAGTGGTACTTCTATAAACAAACTGTAAAGGTGTTGAATTGCATTGTTGATTCTATTCTACAGCTGGAATATAGGTCAACTACTTGATCAAATATTTGCAATTTGCTGGTCAATCGACTTGGGTTTTTTTCTTTATTGAGCTTGAACAAATTTTCCTTGACTAGCCCGAATCTAGTCAATCCATGAAAGCTTCTGCATCCCTTGACTGCAACCAGCTGTGCTTTGCCATTATATTTGTGCCTTTGCCATTATATTTGTGCCTTTGCTTTCTCTGAAGTTAAGATAAATCATGTTGCTGTGGACAATTTTTAAAATTTCAATTTTTGAAATTTTGCAGGGTTTTTGTACTTTCACAGAATCATATACTTGACTTTGAAAAATCCTGTAAACAAAGTCTTTGCATATTATTTTCATTATCTTTTGTGATGACAAGAAACCCTCTGTGTGAGAGTGTGTGCTAGTTTCTACATAGACAAAATATATCTGAGAGTGTACTGTAGCCAGGGCAGACATATAGATGTGTAACCCCCTGGGCCCCACTGCTGAAAGTGCCATTTATATTCACTTCCATAGTTATGCTTCTATGTTTAGATTATGGAAAGTAATCTTGATAATTATTCCAACAAGCATTGAAGTCTAATTCTCAAAAGAATCTGAGTATACATGAAGAAGCAAATCTGCTGGAACACAAGACTCATAAACATGATAAAAATTATGGAACAAAATGTTTGTTAGTGACAAAATGTGGAATTTGCATTTTGATATACTGGTCTCATTCAGATGTAACACTAAACCCTAGTTTAGCATTACAGAAATGATCTTGTGCATATCTCTGGACTGCACATTTCTTTGCTGCCTTTCTCTGATGTGCCTGTGTAGAGATATCGAGAAGCTTTTGATTCCATTTTAGGTTAACTGCAGTTTGTAGTGGCATTCAAGCCCAGACAAACTGCACTTTGAATGATTGATAAACACAAACTTCAAATCATAGTGTATGCAGCTAACTTGCTTTAATTAGTAATAATTAAGCAAGAGCTTCCAGAGTCCCATGGTGGGTGGGGAGAGGGTGTTTTTATAATGCTAAACCAGTTGTGGAAATGCAGCCAGTGTTTCCCAATTCTGCTGTAGAAGAAAAATAGTATTTCTAAATGAATGTATTTTGTGGAAGAGCTTATTCCATTGAATGTAAATGCTTGGTTTAGAACGGTTATCTGTTGACTAGGATTTCATAATGATCTTCTCTCTCTCTCACTTATTAATCCATCTTCTTATACAGTTGGACCTTTAACCATCACCTTTGACACAGTACCCAGTGAAAGAACAATTATCAGCAAAAATCCATATGTCCAGTCAGGTGGCTGCTATAGCCCTCCCCACTGCCTGGCCCGTTACAAAATTGCTGTCATTGTGCCATACAGGAATTGTGAGAAACAATTGCACCACTTCCTCTATTATATTCATCCATTCCTCCAGCGTCAGCAGCTTAACTACTGTATCTACTTGATTCATCAGGTAAGCCAAAGTAAAGGCATGTTCCAAATCTATAGGTGAAAGGTCACATGGTTTTGAAGAAAACATGCCTTTATAATTCTGACTACCTCAAATATCTTAGAAATAAACGCTGCTTTTCTTTAGAAAGAGATGAAATGTCAATGATAATGCAGCTTCTCAGATCATACTGTTTTTAACCTAGGTGGGAAAGTTGTGAGTATAGCCTAGTCTAGTCTATTACCACAGACTCTTCTGTGAAAGTAGTGCCCCATCCATGTCATCTGTTGATGTGCGTTTAAGTAATCAGAAGCCAAGTACCAAAGATATGGATCTCTGAACTGAATGTTATTTGCTTTTGTATTTTCTTTGCAGGTGTGTTTGTGTGACTAATTGAAATGCAGGCTTATATGTCATTCAACTAATCTGATCATTATACTTATCACTATGGGGCATCAAGCTTCCCAGGTTAAAGTCTTGAGTAGAAAACTGTTATATTTTTGGTGCAATATCAGTTCTGCAGATGCTTGCATTCTCAGTCCAGAATTTAATTACTAGCGCTTCCTTGACTGAATTCTTGTTTTCTGTTCCTTTCCTCAAGTAGAGCCGTCCACCTTTTAATCTTCAGGCTGTTCTTTCATAGCTATTCTGGATCTTCCCTTCAGCCACCTTCTGTCTCATTGCCAGACCTTTTCCCAGTATTCTGCCTGCTTATGTAAAGTGTTCATCCTAGCTGAACTGATAGCTTTGTTTCCTCTCAGAAAGCTGGGCTGTCAACTGTCTAGTTTTCTTAGCAACAGATTGTTCTGTGGCAACATATGAATTTGGACAATCATGTCAGTAGCTTCGGTGCCCCAAGAACAAATGCCATATAAATGTGAGCAAACCTTGCTCTCTGATGACCTCATTGGTGTGTTCCATGACTAAGCTATGTGTTCTCTTTCCAGGCTGGAACTGGGCCATTTAACAGAGCAAAGCTCCTTAATATTGGTGTCCGTGAAGCCTTGAAGGATGAAGATTGGGACTGCCTACTTCTGCATGATATAGATCTCATTCCAGAGAATGATTATAATTACTACATCTGTGATGACTATTACCCCAAACATATGGCCACTGCCATTGACAGTTTGCAGTCCAGGTAACATCACCTGCTCACTTTAAGAGTCTTTAGTGATTTGAGGGTAGATAGTCTCGTTGCTAATAAAGCATGGCTTTTTGCTGCTGGAAAAATAATCATTGTTTATAAATAGATGCTTGCTTCACTCTTCCCAAATCAGTAGTTCGGAAGTAGTTGTAAAGAATGGATATATAGTTTTATATGTCATTTCATTTTTTAATTGGTTTCTGATTTGAAAAAATCTAATATTTAGGAATCAGTGTTGCTGGGGAGTGGAGAATAATAAATCAGTGCAAATAACAAAATAGGCAAGTTGCTTACCTGTGGCGATGCAACCTTCCATGAGCCAATTCAGTGATCACAAAATTCGGATTAGGGTGTTAAAAGAGGAAGTCCACATATTTCTCCTGCATGTAGTACATGTCCTTTAATTGTTTTAATGTTGGATCTATTGATGATGGGCCTTCTAGGTCTGCTGAGTGGTCTGGAGGGGAGTCAGAAGGTAAGGGATGGCAGCCAGTGTCAGTTCCTCAGTCCAAACAGCATCAAAGACTGGATTCGATATCTTTTCCAGTCACATCTGCATCTGGATTCTGAGGGACTGGGCCATACTCTAGATTCATTCAGCAAAGGTGCCAGGTCTGCCAGTGCTGAGGCAGGATCCAGAGAAGAGCTGGGATGAACAGAGGAAGAAGTGTCCTTATTGGACTCATAATCCATTGGTGAGGATGGGTTGGAAATGTAGTGCAGGAGAACTTGATATGCAGGCTGGCAAAGGAGGTAAAGGTGATTTTGCAGGGTGATAGAACTCTTACACTGAAGAAGCTGGCCAGGGTGGCATGAGTGGGTGAAATACTGGCAGTTTGGCAACTTGTCCACACTCCCTGAAGATGCCAAGACAGTACACCATACCATACCAGGGGTTGTATGTGGGTCCTTGGTGGTACTGTCCCCACAGGTCGAAGAAGCTCCAGTAAGATTGTGGTACTGGTGAGACTGAATTCCTGCTCCAGTCTGAGAGCAGGGAGTGGGAGCATTCCCTGTGGACCTTGGTACCAAATGGCTCCAGTGGTACATGGACTGTGGGTCCCCTTGAGTCCATGGCAGAAGTGGGCACGAAGTTTTAGGCAAGGCTGGGGCAACTATTGCACAAAGGACCTTATTCCAAAGCTTTGCATGGAGATGACGAACTCTTTGCTTTCATGCCTGTTAAGAGAATGTCTGGCAGTGTGGGCATTGATCAATGGTGTGCCCTTCTCCCAGGCACAAAAGATGCAGATAATGCCTGTCAGTCAGGGGCAGCCCGGCATTGCAACAAACGCATTTACAAAAGGGAGCCTGTGCCACCGGGGCTGGGGAAGAGGAAAACAGGCAAGAAAATAGTTAAGGATAGTCAAGGAGTGAGATAGATCAGGTAGGCTAAGATGATTTCTGTTTTTGGTTTTGTTTTGTTGGAAGAGAGGTTAAAAACAGGAGAGAGAAAATTTGTGAAGGTTTGGAATAAAGGGACCAAGAAAGACACTTAGAATTATTCAGAAAAAGAGTGAAAGAAATGCTCTGAGGAAAATAAGGAACAGGAGAGAGAAAGAACTTCCCGAGGCACCTAAGATAGTTAAAGAAGAACTGAGGGAAATGGTGGGAGCCCCTCCCATGTATACAGATGCTGGTGGTGGGGGGAGTGTTCCCACCAAAACACTCTCAGTTATTAAATCTTCCCAACAACAGGCTCCACACAGGTGCAGAGCCCAAATGTGTGATGCACAGAGACCACAAAGAAGAAGTTCTGTTGTGTGAAATGAATATAAATTTTATTACCACTGTTATTGCTCTGCAGTCAGTCTTTCCAGAAATTTTGCATTTATTGGGCAGAACATTGGGAGGTGGGAGCAGGGCAACTATTTACAGAGCAATTAAGCAGAACCATCGAAACCAGTGATTCCCAAAGTGGGAGGTACTGCCCCCCTGGGGGTGGTGGAAAGATCTAGGGTGGGGGGGGCAGTGATTGGTTGTTTTAAATTTGCAGTAGAGCAAGACACCTAATACAGAGAAAGTGGTATGGGGGTGCTAGGGTTGTCACCCGAGAGGAGAGGGAGCAGCAGCCCAAAAACATTTGGGGATCTCTGATCTAAACTATGCATCCTTTCCCCAGGTGTCAATCATTTGGTAGGTGGAGTGTTTCTGTCTGGGAATGCTACAAGTTCCAAGACTCAACATTGGAATGCAAGAGAGAGTAACACTGCCTTTGATCATATTAGAATCTTGCTTGCTTTTTCCGTAATTAATATATTCATGTTTTCCACCTTGGTACAACAGCAAGCACTCAATGTGCATGAATATGAAAATGCAGAATGAGCAATTTTTAATTGCTATGTGGCAGGCTAAAAACAAATGGTAGTATGAATTTTTGTACTATTACGGAGTTTTAGTTTGGTTTTCACTTTGATTTTTACTTCAAACTTTTGTATTAAGTTTATTGTGCTGTATTTTATGGTTTTAATAGTTGCAAACTACCAGTAGGATGGAGAAATCCTTGTACCTCTTTGCTTTTATCAGTGCAATGCAAGCTCATTTAAAACTGCCCTGATTTTATTTTTCCCTGCAGTTTACCACATCGGTTCTTCTTTGGCGGTGTAATTGCTTTGACCCCAGAACATTACATGAAGATAAATGGGTTTCCAAACACCTACTGGGACCGTGATGGCAATGATGACATCGCTGAAAGGTGATTTTGAGGAGACAAATGCTCCTCAAATATAAAGGTGTTAATTAGGACAAATACATTGGCCTGTAAAAGAATGAAGCAAGACCTACTGGTCCATTGTATTTAGGAGACAAAGTTAGGCATCCACAGGGCTTCTATTTGATATTGAAAGGGTTGGATCTTTTCCTGCTCCTGCTTTCCTTAGATACTGAAGGAAATAATATTTAGTCATCATGTCTAGTAGCCAGTGAAGGTATCCTCCATGAGTTTATCTAATCTCCTTTCAAGGCTGCCCAGATTGGCAGCTATTGCTACACCTTGTGGAAGTAAATTCTGTAGCTTATGTGCTGTGTGAAGGAGGACTTGTTTGTTTGGAATTTCTCATTGTGCCATTCATTAGATCATCCTGGCTTCTACTATTATGAGAAAGGGAGAACAACCTGCATAATTTTGTCATGTTCCTTCACCTTTGTCATGTTTCAAGTGTGATTGCATAGTTGGCAGTTTTATTATTTTTCCTTTCACCAACCTGGATACATATGGCCAATATTTTCATTGAACCATTTGCCACAACTGCATTCCCGGTTTCACTGAATTCACTGAAAGCTCAAAACAGTGCATGCGTAAAGTTAGGAATTGATCTCAATGTGTATCACTTTACTCCTGTTTTCCATCAAATCACATCTGCCATTTTAATGCCCATTCCTGCAAGTTAAAGAGACTGTTTTGTTTTTTCCCATCAAGAATAATTTTGGCAACATCAGCAAATGTACCCACCTCATTGTTCATATCTAATTTTAGTGTGAAGGACTAAATTTTTTGAAAATTCATGTAAGCAATATCTATTGGATCATTGTTACTCACATGCTTATTCAGTCTCAGAAAATTCTGCATGGTTAGTAAGGGACAAGACTTGCCTTTGCAGAAATCACATTGATTCTTCAGAAGCAAAAATTGTCTTTCTGTATGATGTAAACATATGCTGGAGACCGATTCAAAGCCAAACCATAAAATTCTCATTTTATCAAGTCCATACACTAAAGCAAACTGCTTTATTTATTATTTCATGTATATCCCACCTTTTTCTTTTTTAAAGAACTTACATCATTTTCTTCCTGTTCTCAGTCTTATTGCCACAAGAACAAACCTGTGAGGTAGGTTGGGCTGAGAGTCTGTGACTGACCCAAAGCCACCCAGTTGGCTCCATGACTGAGTGGGGACTAGAACTGATTACCTGAGTTCCAGACCTGCATTCTTAACCACTACTGGCTTCTTACAGAGGATATGTGGTACTGCTTGTACCCTAAAGCAGCTACCCTGGGGCAGCTATTTACATATTTCAGTGATAGCAGATGAAACTCAGCATCTCATCAACTGAGACTGAAGGTACTTTTAAGGCCACTTATTTGGAGCCTATAGAACAAGAATATGCCATGTAGTTGCTCCTACTGTGTTTGTGTTTGCTAAATTCAGGCTTCTCATGCTATGTGAAAAGCTGTTTTTCAAACTGAGGAATTTCCAAAGCTTTATGTGATTTAGGACAGGTGAAAAGATAGTTAGTTTGAGACTTGTGTACAGGCCCACAAGATTTTACCATGGTTTCTTACTGGATTTTCCAGCCAAATGGTAGTTCAGACAAATTTAAGGACAGTTTTTATGCTAAGACTGTTCAACTAATGATTACTGTGGCAAACTTTTAGGAAAATGAATACAAAAGCTCCACATTCTAATTTTATTCTCAAATGCCATAAAAATTTAAATAGAATGTTTTGTTCAAATAATGGGAGTCCTTTAAAACATTGTGTTCTGATATAGGGAAGTTGCATGGAGTGCTTTTAAAGGAAAAGTGTGATCAGATTTAACTTCTAAGAAAAGTAATTTTAGATACTCTTTTGAAAAACACACCTCTATTGGTACAAAGAAAGTTCTGATTCTTCTCATCCAGCAACAGCCTCACATATTCCTTTTTACATTGTAAATCTGAGGCCAATGACTGTCTTGTGTATTGTTGGTATAAAGATGCTTTAAATAAAAGTAGTGTGGGAGGGCTGCCAACAAAGAAAATATATGCCCAATATAACCTTAACACGTAACATATCTGCAATTTTCCCTCTGTATTACTGCTTTGCAAATATATTTGTCTATGTTTCCCGATCTTGCTCACTGCTTTTTACCCTATATCAATATGTGACAGCTTAGCTGTGAAGAGAGGCAACAAACAGGAAATGGAGGAAGGGGCTGAAAATATTTGAAGACACTTTGTAAGCAGGTGTTCTTACTTTGGTAATGGGTTTTAGAATACTATGAAGCAACTGTCTTTTTAAATACTTTTTGCTAGCTAGCAATGAAGTGGAAGAGGGAAATGTGGGAATGATTGGATAAATATCAGACAAGTGGACTTATAAAATAACAGGGTTCCCCCCCCCCCAAAAAAAAAGCAGAACAGCTGGTGCACAGGTTACCATTTAATTTGTTGAGCTGATGCAACAAAGGTGAAGGAGTTTCCCTTGTTAACTAACAGCACCAGGAGACCACTTGCAGAAAGAATGCTGACATGGGTATTAAGGCAATGAGGAGTTCAAGCCGAAAGGGTCCTGAAATACATGCCAGAGCTGGAGAGGAATGAAGGGAAGAACAAGCCATGATGAACCTTATTATCTGTTGGTAGTGCCATGGGTTGGTCAGCAAACAAGCAATCCTATGGTAGCTTGGTGTGTGTGAACCCACTAATGATTTAGACTTTAATGGCCGTAACCATTTCAATTGCATTGTAGTTAATCATGGGTTTGACTGTTTTCTTATTGAGAAGCCCTGCTCTGAAATAGCATTTCCCACTGTGTCTTTATTTCAAAAGGATTCAAATAGTCAGAATGAAAATAGTGCGATCTGTATTTGGACGTTATAAAAAGGTGGACAACGGGCAAGCTTCTGGAACTCCAGAATACAGTAAAAGGTGACTATCCCCCCCTTCCATGCATAGTCAATTTCTATATATTTTTCTCCTCCATAGTTAGGGCTAGTTCAAACTCAAAACAGCACCAAATTCCTATGTCATTACTAGAGTGTCTTGAGGTTGCATAGACTTGTAGCCATTTGTACCTCTAAACAATGTACATCAAACTAAATACTGACAAGGTCAAACAGCAGTTCTGCTTAATTGGCATCTCCTGATTGCCCAAATGTAAGTGAAATGTGACTTGCAGTTCTGCTGGAGTTGCTGAAAACAGTGCATAGCAATGGCATAATTTAACCTAGAAATTCTTGTCTCATCTGTGCAAGCTGTTTAGAATTGAGGGAAAGATGTACTGTATGTGTTTGGAGGCATTTACATTCTTATGTTTTATTTCTCTATATAAGAGTTTATGTACTGTTTTCAAACCAGTGTGTTCAATCAAGTCAAACACTAAGTATCTGGGGCATTATGTTCATCTCAATTAGGTGCTGGTTATTAGCTATAAAGCCCTTAATTAGGTTTGGGACCAGGATCCCTAAAGGAACATCTTTTTCCCTATTTGCCCTCCCGTCCTGAGATTGGCAACAGAAGCCCTCCTCTGGGAACCCTCTTTGAAAGATGTTAGGAGACAGAGTACCCAGAGGAGGGCCTTCTCTGCGGTGGTGCCCCAACTATGGAATGCGCTCCCCAGAGAGGTCTGCCTGGTGCCGTCATATGTTTTTTGGTGCCCGGTTAAGACCTTTTTATTTAATCAATACTTTAATATGTTTTAATATTGACCCTTTTATTGTTGTATTTTATTAACTTGCAGCCAGAGTGGGTTGTCACTATTTATGCTGTAAGCCATCCAGAGACGCAAGTAATTGGACGGCATGCAAATTTTTATAAATAAAAAATAAATAAATCTCAATTTTTCTGGGCTGCATATAGACAGTCTTCAGTACAGACAGTTCACAATACCATCAATGCCATTTCTTGTCTTTTCTGCACAGGGGTGGGGGTGGTGCAGTTTATACCTGCTGCCATCCAGATACTTAAGTCTTAAGGTCTCATCGCAATTCCTGTATGGAATCCCATTTTGGATTGTAGGATTTCACCCAAATATTAAGAGTGTTCTCACAACATTCATAAGATCTATCCTTGGAATGCTAAGATGTGACCCTTAGCATTCCAGACAGGTGTTACCATCATTAGAATGCACTGCTTGGCTACATGCTTTCAGGTACTGGATTAAAATGTAATATGCTGACACCTCTGTAGGATATCTATACCTTTTACAGAAGGATGTTTACATTAGTTTCTGATATAAAACCTTTCTTACTGAATTGCATTTCTTAGGCCTATCTGGATTTTCTTCATTCCCATGAGATTAAGGCAGTCAAGTCAATTCCAGAACAGAAGATTAGGGATTTTGATTTTCAGTATTCTATAACAAATGCTTCCAGGTCCTGTTTACCTCTGCATTTTGGTCTAAATTTTGAATTCCTCCAAAGTGCTAGGTATTTGGAAAATTTGACATTCCAAAAGGCTGGCAAGTCTTTTCAAGAGCCAAATTAAACCACCTTCCATCTGCAGTTTTAGATGGGCATCATTGTGGTGTGCCATATGAAAATGGACTATGCCTTTGTAATAATATAGACATTCAAACTTGGGAGCACATCCTTTTTATATGTGCTTTTTACAGGGATGAACACATGAGATTATTTAACCCTGTAATGAGTGACTTCCTGCATGGGGCTTTTCATAGGCATTTAAAATACTTCCTAGCCAACACGAACAAGTTCAACACAGAATTAGTGGCCAAGTTGTTGTTGTTTTTTTAAATCAGAGAAAAGAACATGCAAAATGATTCTTGCTTCGGTTTTTTTTAAGTCATGCTCATGTAATTTATTGAGCTTTCTTAATCATTTTTGAAATGTTTCTATGAGTTTTGTCTGTGACTGCCCAATAAAGATGGATTGAAACCAGTATGTTCAACATACACTGAAAACTATGAAGGACCAAAGTAGACTAATTGCTAATCACGAACTGAGCCACTAAGTAAAAGGAACCCAATTTGGTTCTGGAGCCTAGTGTGGAGAGATGGATCCTTTACACCTTTGTCATTGTTGTCTCAGTCCAGATTGTTTCCCCTGCCCCCAAACAGGTTTTTTCCCCAGTGAAAAAGTTATTTACTTCATTGGGAACTCCTTCAGTGCACAGTGCAGGCAGAGAGACCCAATCTGAATAAAGGCCATGGAAAAGGGTAGAGGGTTAGGGTTAGGGCTAACTCTTCTGTTCCCAATTTCAATCTAGATTGGGCCAGATAATTCTTAACAGTCCATCCTGTAGCAATAGATTATCTGCTTGTGGTTGGCCCCTAGTTTCTGCTTGTGAACATTTTCAGTTTATCATTTGTTTTCCCTGAAGACCACCTTTCTATCTTTCATGTACTTGCTAGTAGACAGAAAGCTTTTGCAGGTAAGGCTTCTACCACCTGGAAATATTTTCCTTCATTCACCTGTGGCTAGTCTTACTTTATAGCACTGGAAAACCTCTTCATTTCTACTGACAACTCAAGTTACTGTTTGATCTGCATTTTGTATGTCTGCTGTCTCTGGTTTGCTTGTCCACAATTTTGCTTTCCTTTATTTTAGGTCTGCTTCATTGCACACTAGAAAAACATGGAAAGATGATGGAATGAATTCTCTTGACTTCAAACTCTTATCAAAGCAGCAGCATCCTCTTTATATGAACATTTCTGTAGATATTGGAGTCCCACCCATGCTGCCTCCTCAGGGTATGAAGAAACAAAGCCACATTTTATAACCCTTTTACCAGAGTTATCAGAGCACAAAAGTGTGCACATGGAAGACTTTGGAGATGCATTTTCCCTTCTGTTAGCTACATTACTAGTAAAGAAAAAAACAATGAAAACAGCAATGTTACATCTACTGTTAAAGAAGGCACTTAAGGGTGCAGTCTTCCAGCCAGCTGGGGTACAAGAGGTAGCATAAATGAGAGGCATGCTGATAGGAGAAGACATATAAGCTGCCAGATGTTCCGGTTACAGCCATGGAAAGCTCTAAAGGTGTGGACATTCCACCTATGGAAGACTAAAATGGGGCATTCCACGATTTTACATCTGTTGTTGACTACACTTAGGGCTGGCTTAATAATTTTACTTTCTTAATGAGAGGGAAAATAAAATCTCCCTCAAGCAAGTCAGCAGCTCCGCTGGAGAATCTTCCCTACATGAAATTGCTATATAAGTGTTTCCAAGTGCACTATCTACTGAATCCTGCTCTCTTTTCTGACCAGCACAATTACTAAAGAGCAAATTTTGGGTCATAAACCACTTATGCTGTTATGGGTATTTGCCACTGCTGTAGCTTCTCAGCAATCTGAATGTAAAGCTAATGTGGATATTTAAGATTTTTGTTTTTCTGCACCAGTGTTAAGGGTTTAAGATTACAATTAAGTATTAACTATATTTCAGAGTATTACTTTTATGTTTATTTTTCAATGAATGCAAATAAATAGTTGAATAGCATTTTGCTTCTTGTAAGAGCTCAGATGTCATCTTGCTGTCTGCTTTTCTAAAATAATAGTGGTTAATAGTGGCTGATGTGCACTCCTCTGGGCCTTTATGTTGGCCCAGAGGTTTTTGATATATAAGGCACAATGAAAAGCCTAAGTAGATAAGAGAGCCGTATTTGTTTTTCGTGTGTCTGGCTTATGTAAGTGGCAGTGTGTTTCCCTCGATCTGCAGCTCTACTCTTGTTCCCTAAGATATTATCCAATGCCCAGAGCAGATACAAGAGAAGTGGGGTGATATTAAAGCCCTACTCCAGGAATGGTAAACTGATGTAGTTTTTGCTGACAGCCTTCAATAAAATAGCCAAACAGCATCAACATTCTCTTTAAAAGATTCAGCAGAAGGAAGCTTGTATCCCTTCACCTTATTATAACTTGAACTATGAAGACCATGCCATCACCAAGTAGAAATCATTGGTTAATACTTGAAGTGCCTACTGAAGTAATTATAAGATTATGTAGTTTTATACCATTTATCAAAAGTATAGCTACTAATTTGCATGTCCCTTGTAAGAAAATATAAAAGTTATGTTATATACTTGCGTAGTATGAGGTCCAAATAATATGCTTGCTAACTTTAATCCAGGTGGCTACCCTGATATACAATTTTGAACAACCATATTAAAACCTGGATAAATGTAATTGATCTAAGTTTTTTAAAAATGGTGGAAACTGCAGGTTGTTCACTATCAAACAAATCCTTCTAGGAAGCACTGAAACTTCCTCTTCCCTACAAAATAGGCTATATGTTTATCAAGTCCTGAAATTCACTAGTACCTAGTATCTACCTAACCTGATTTTTGGCATTACTGTGTCTCCAGACTATTCTGCACAAGCGTAATATGACCACTGTACTAGGGAGTATATGCAGGAATTTCAGCACCTCTTTGCACAGTTTGTTCTGCATTGCCTTATCTCCTTGACAAATACAATAAAAATCCATATTCCTGATACGAACATCACACATTAACTGCAGAATAAAATCAGGATTGTTGTACATACATAAGACGACACGAGAAATGGAAAGCTTAACTAAGGCAATGGAATGCTTTTCAACAAAATCTGTTATGTTTTATTGAGCAAGTTCTTAAGTGTCCCATTCTCACTGTGGCTCTTCTTACATGATGGCATTATATATCATCTGCTTAGAAAATGATTATGATGAACACTTGATTGATTGGCTTGAGAAAAAACAGCCAATATCAACATGAGTATCCTATTTAAAAAGTCAATTGGATGAAAAAGCCCTTAATTTTGCACCTCTGAAAATGGCAGTATTGTTTTTATAACCCTCTTCCCACATCAAAATGGATATTCAAGCCTCAACTATGAAAAGTGATAACTTTCAGATGATGGAACTTTATCACCAGAGGATAAGATCAATTTGTTTAACAAGGGAAAAAAAGCAACAGAAATGCTTTCTAAGTAAACCTCAATGGTCCTGAAGTCCACAAAAAAATACTTAGCAAACTACTGGAGATGAAAAAACACATTATTTCCCCTAAATGAACTTGCTGCTGGGAAGTAACCAACAACGCTGGGTGTTCAACTGCAGCAACTCTTGATACGGGCAGTTCTTTGTGACAAAATTCATTAGGCACAAAACAGTTGGTTATGAAATCTTGGTTGACTGTCCAACATCCACTGTAATGTTGGTGTACAAACGGTTATATTCCACTGAGAGCAGCTTATAGGAGCAGGAATTTAGCCCATCTGTTTTCCATACTCGAGATACCTGACGTAGGAGATTCATCCTGAACAGATTTTTGTTGTTTTTAAGTTGGGTAGGTGGAGAGAACAGAAAAAAACAATTATAAATAAGGATGTTCCTGATTTGAACAGCTGAATATATATATTTAACTGCAACTTCAGTCAGTATAGATCAAAACCGTTCATGATTCTGTGGATGGCTTTTTTCCCCATGTACAATTTTATTTTCCTACAATTGTTTCTAAAATGCTGGGTGCAAGATACGCTCTCCTTTACCAAGGGTAGACAGTGTAATACTTGTGGGTACCAGCACTTCCTGAGACACATTTCTTAGTGTCCTCCTATCCAAAAAGCAAACACATTTCTTCCTCACATCTGGAATAATTTCAAAGGAAAATGAGGGAAAGTAAAAGGAAAAACCTAAGTTTTGGGGGCATTCTTCGTGTGACGGTCCACACATGTGGCAGTTTTTTTGAAGTACCCAAGATATTTTTGCGAAGTGCTAAATACAATCATGGGCCCCTAAAAGACTGCTTCCTCCAGCTTAGACTATATCTTGTTCACCCACTTGAGCTTAGCAGGAGGTTATTCATATTATTTCTTAACTCACCTCTGTCCATTTGCCTCATTGCCTCGGTCTCTTGTATGGAAGATCATAGTATACTTGGCTACACTGGGGGAAGGCCTGATCACCTTCATCTTCTGCAATTCAACCCTGAAGAAAAGATGCTAGCAATTAGGGAACCATTATGGCAAGCATGTCATGGAGACAATGGGAGAAGGCAGCTTGCTAATGAAAAGCAGAATTCCCACTCTTCCCTTGCTCAAAATGGTACTGTAGAAAATAGTGAACAGGTCCCTATCATCTGCTGAGGAAATAATAGTCAAACAGTGCATTTTTGTAGAAGCTGTAACGATGGGAGTATTTTAATTTGTGCCTTTGCTCTTACAAATGTGCATGTCTCAAATTTTCTGGCAATCTCCAATGACTGTGGGTGGGGGTGTTATTGCCAATCTAGCTGCACCTTCAGCATATGAAGGAAGCTGAACTTTCAACTCAGCTCTAAAATATTACTTTGCTTGCAAGACTATCTCAGAGACAACTGCTGCCCTCTTCTGGATTCATGGAAAGAAGCATCACTGAGAACATTTCTCTGTAAGGAAGCTCTGTTCACAAAAACTACAAATTATATGCAAATGTGTGCGATAATTCCCCAACTGCTGCTGCTTATAAACAGCTTCATGTTCTGAAAGTTGGGAGCAACTCCTAGCAGAATTTCCAATGAGCTTTTCAAAATACAAGCAGGGGATAAGAGGGCGAAAGAGAAACAGCAATGAGAAATTGCAGAGAGAAAGTATGCATGTATATTCCACTTCTTGTTCTTCAGTACCTCCTCCCCAGGACTAGCAGCCATCAAGAATTTGTTAGGCACATTCCTGTGCTACGCACGGTTCTGCCACTGTGACCACACAACCAACAGTGCTGTTAAGGCCGTAGGAGTACAGATATGGAGAGACTTGCTCCTACTTGCTATCCACCAGGGCCGTAAAGGCACCATGCTTCCCTGGTACAGTGAGAATTGACAGTAAGTGCTGCTAATTCTGCATTTAATGTGCCCCTTCCAGGGACTGTGAATAGTGAAATCACAGCTACCGAGACTCTCTCTTCTCTGATCTGCAGAGCCTCATAAAAGTTTATTAGGTTGTTTCATCCTGGAATCAAAAACAATGGGGGCTGCAAATACTGGACATGTGTATGTTACTTGTATTAAATGGCAATACCATCTTTTACAAATGTAAAGACTTTAGATAAAATCATAAACAGAAACAAAAGCCAGAAATACAAATGAACATGGCAAGCTACCCAGCTGAAACGTAGCAGCTTTTCAGTTGCTACATGTAAAATGTACATGTAAATGTAGCAACTGCTCCTCCATTGGACAAGACACATCACAGGTTCTTTTAACATCCAATTTAGGAGAAATTAAAACAGTTCTAGCCTGGCCCTAGCTGATTAAAAAAAACCCTATATTGGTCCATGGGGAAAATTACATAGTCATGTGATCTGTTTCTCAAGTTTTGGCACCATGATCCTAATTATCCAAGCACAGGGACATGCTGTATAATAGGGATGAGGGATCAAAGTAGCACTCGAGCCAAGTGGCACCAAGTTATACCTAGAGAAAGACTGCTTCTGGAGACCAGCATGTCCCTTTTTGACATTCAGTAAAAAGAAAAAAAATAGGGTCATAATAAATCAGAGACAACTTGACAGCACATAACAATGAAAAGAAAAATAATGCTTCTATCTTTTTTAATCACTCAGCAGTATTTATTTTCTAGTAAATGGAATAGAGAATGATAAACAGAATAGATAAGCCCTAGGGCTGCAATAAACAGGTCCTGTAAAGCAGGAGACAATTGACTTGTCAAAATAGCTGGCAAAAAGTCCCCTCAATGACAGAAAAACATCTATCAGTCCAGAAATTTGACTCTGACAAATTTCATTATGTGAAATGTCATTATGATATTCAGTATTAACTTACCAGGATGTCAATTACCTCATTTTTCCTTCTAGTACTGATGGAGGTGCTTGAAGGCAGAGACTTTCCTCTGCAGTGTGTTCAGCCAACATGAAAAAGTATGGGAGGAGGGGACAAAAATGGACTCCTGCCTCTGGTCTGGCAAGCCATGTTTTCCATGGCAGCCATTTGCAGTGATACCCAAGAGAGTTGCTCAAATTGCCAGAAGCTGTTGCTTATCTTTTGTCTCTATGTGAATAGTTAAAGGTATGCTAGACATCCTGGGAGGGTATGCTTTTGAGGTGTGACTGAAGTGGTTCTAATGAATCAACACTTAATCATCTACTCTGAATAATCTTACTGAATAGTTGGTGGAAGCTTGCCCCCAACCAGCAGTGGCAAACAAAGACTGACCCCTGTTCAAAAGTGGGTTTATGCTTCTCTCTCTTCTGGTGAAACTGGTTTTGCTGATTAGATTATTAGATCTGCATCTCTGACCGTTTAAGATAGCTTTTCTTTGCCTTAAAAGGGAAAAAACCTTTCCTTTTACCCTTAGAAGCCCCTAGCTTCCTGCCAGTATTTCAGTCCCATCCCAACTGGAATTTCCTTGCTGACTTGTTCTCACCTAGCTTGTTCTGGCATTCAAATACACACCTACTATTAATCACTATGTCCTATTTGTCTAAGCTAATCAAAGGGGCAGATTAAAAAGATGAAACAAGCAAATAATCTGCTTGCTATTCAACCAGCTAGTAGCTATAAGGACAAAAGGATGATGTTAAGGTAACAATCTCACCTTAGCCCAGTCATTGCAAATTAGTGCCTTCTTCATCAAGCAAAAGGCTGTCAGAATCCAATTTAGGCAACTACTAACCCACAAAATGCCAACATTTGTCATCCCAAATCACCCAAACATCTCCTGCATTTGTCACAAGTAACATAGGAGTCAAATCCATGGCGCTCCCATCATCTCTAGCAGACACCCACTTGGTCTTCGCTGTGCAATTACCTGATCCGGAGGTCATCGTCCTCTCCTCCCCAGCCCCAGTAGTTGTTAGAAAATCCATTCACCTTTGAAAATTGCTCCCTTGTTAGAGCAGTTACACCCCCAAAGTATCCTTGGTAACGCAACCTAGGAACACACAAGAAGAGGTACGGAAAATGTTTTAAAAGTGAAAAACTCCAGTGCATGCCTGGCTAGAAAGTTTTAACAAACTCCAACCTGCTAATATAGCTATCTAATTCCATGCTCTTCACCTAGGGCAGGGGTCAGCAACCCACAGCGGTGGAGCTGCATGTGGCTCTTTCATCCCTCTGCTGTGGCTCCCTGTCACTCAAAATATGTGTCACAACCGTCAATGTGTGACACCCGCCAGAATGCGATTTATTGAGCTTTTCGACCCCCAGTAGGCCAACCATGGATAAATCCAAGAAAAGAAAAGTCCCAGAAGAAAACAGAACATTTAATGGTATGTGGGCAGATTCATTTGCTTTCACTGCTGATGAGACTGGTTTACCAGAATGCTTAATATGTGGTGAGAAACTGGCAAACAACAAAAAGTCAAATGTTGCAAGACATTTCCAGAATAAACGCACAGCCGTTGCTGAAATATATCCGGATGGAGATGAGATATAAAAGCCATTTCGGAACTGATGCGGAAGGTTGATCTGAGCAAGAATCATTTCAAGAAGTGGATCAAGTCTGCAAATTCAACTACATGTGCTAGTTTTGTGGCCGCTCAGGAAATAGTCAGGCATGGGAAGCTGTTCACAGATGGAGATTGTATAAAAGAATCATTCACTGATTTCATAAATGCAACACACTATAGTTTTTTTATATGTAGCATAAAGGTAAAAAATGATATATGCAGTGTTATCTTCATTTTAGATGTCAAAAGGGTTTTGTGGCTCCCGACGTTTTCTTTTCTGTGGGAAACAGATCCAAATGGTTCTTTGAGTGTTTAAGGTTGCTGACTCCTGCCCTAGGGGAAACTGATGGCAGGTAAGTGGCTGGAACTTGCGTCCAGGAAGCATTCCTGCACATTGACAATCATTTCACTAGGCAGAACTGCCAATAGCAAATCCCGGTTTTCAGCCAGCAACGTCTCAGGTCCTTTGATATAACAACAGTGGCTACACTAGTGTTAGATGTAGCCCTTTGGTAATGCTTATGGGACACATCACAAAATCACATGTACTGTCTGAAAAACATTTTAGCACATAAACTATTTCCCTGATGACTTTTTAAATTCTACAGCTGTGTGCTCATGTTATTCAACATCCAGGTATATGTGTTTAAGTTCTAAAATGCTGTCTCCTGCAAGGACATGACTCTTATGCAGCAAGCCTTTCTAGTACTGTTCATCATTTGAGGTGGAGGATTACTGATACAAATGGTTAACACTATCCATAGAGCACCCAAATCCTTAAAAGGCAATGTTTAGCATAACAATATACGGGAATTTTCTTCCCCCTGAGGTCAGAATTTTAAGAAGCTCTTGGATCTCCATTCTAGTAGTAGGTAAGTGCATAGGCAAAAGTGGGCAGAGCTGAAAATCCAAAACCATCTCCTTTTCCACTGTTACCATTTTACAGCAGGAACTACACAAACAGAAGGAACTGGTCAGAAGCAAGCAGGACAAGCCTCTATATATCTGCTCAGAAATAATTTAGACAAACTCCTCAAAGATAAAGCTCAGAAGAAGCAGGCCTGGATCACTCAGCAGCTACCTTCTTTGCCCTTGCCCTATAGAGAAAAGCACGTATTTCTAGTCAGCAGCGAGTTGACTGCTGATCTGCTGATATTAAATGCTCATAACTGTTTCCACTATTATCCAGGGAATAGCATCATCTCTGTTCATCTGCTAATTGGAGATATGCCTTCCCTGCCCTCCACTCCCCAGAATTTAAACCTGACTTGTTAGAGCAGTGATTGCCAACCAGGCATTGACCTAAGGGACAATTAGAACTTGTAGGTGATCACCAGTTGAACTTATTCAGTCATGCAGCAAGAAACTTTCTAACCATCTTCAGGGTTCATGCACTGGTGTTCAACTATGCAAGCAACCTTTTTCATTTTCTTGCAGCACCCAGCACTCACTGTCAATTATTCTGGAAGAAATACGACAGTAGTGCCTGTCCAGTCAGATCCAGACTGAGTAGCACTTAAAGCAGACTACCTGAAGTTATGATTAACATAAATCCTACCAATTACAATAGCTGGATTCAACCCTATATTTTTATGGCATTTAACCATATGCCATAAATGTGACATACACATTCCAAAAATACATACCATAATTTTATTCTGAACCAAAAGCCTAATTTAAAATGGGATATTCTGAAAATTCATTAGAGAAACAACAGGCCTTAACAGAGTCTGGGTTCAGTGAGATTCATAAATTGCAAAGCTCTCCATCCTGAATGGAATGAACAGAAGGTCAAATCATCACTCACTGGTATGTAAATTGCATGGAGATCAAAGCTGCTTCAAAAGATGTACTTCTTTCCTACCTGTAGCCTGTGCTGTTTCTGCCTACTACCAAATGCTTTGGCTGACTGCCGCACATATAAATGTTGAAGTCATTCTCTGGGACCAGGTCCACATCATGGAATATGAAACAATCCCAGTTCTCTTCCTTCAGGGCTTCCAAGTATCCCACATTCAGCAGTTTTGCTCTGTTAAACTTGACATTGCCAGCCTACAAACGAGACAGTCACATCACAGTTGTGAGCTTTTCACCAAGATTCTGTTGCATCAACCATCATTACAAAAATTAGCCTCATGGCACCTTGAAAGACTAAGAAATTGATTATGGCAAAAGCTTTTGTGGACTGAAATCTGCTTCATCTTGGTTTAGAAATTGTAATAAAAGGCAACAGAAGTTGTGAGATTGCAAGAAAAGTAGGCCAACAGTATTAAAAATCAATAAATAATGTATGTCTCTGAGCCCATCTAGCTCTAGTTGCAGACAACTTTATTATACCTATATAACTTTTCCTTTCCATCAGCTGCCATTGCACCTGGCTGCCTCCACGGGAAAGACCCCCTTCATCAGGTCAGCAGGGACAGGCTGCCATCTGTCTTCTCCATGCCAAGATCTGCCCCTATCAGCAACCATTCCTCAAGTTGTGCAGAGATTTGTACAACAGAACTAAAAGCTTAAACCTGGCCTGGTCGCAAAAAATGGCCTGTACAGTTTGCTCAGCAACAGAGCTGCCTTCAGGAAAGACACGGCCTCCAAGGGCAGCTCAGCTGCTGCCTTCTGTGTCAGCTCCAGCTTTTGAGGCACCTTAAAGGAAGCCTCACATAGAGCTCATTGCACTAGTCCAGTCTTGAAGTTACTAGTGCCTGTATCACTGGCCACCCCATCCCTGTTCAGGAAAGGCTGAACCAAATGGAGATGTCAAAAGGCACTCTGAGTTGCTCTGGTCACTTTGGACTCCAGCAATGGATCTAGGAGTACTTGCAGTCTAGTGACCTGCTTTTTCAGCAGGAATGCAACCACATCCAGAGCAGGTAATGCCCTGCCTTTTTTCCTTTCAAGGAACCCAAAGTGGCTTACATAATCCTTCTCTGAAACTTATCCTCACAACAACAGCCTTGTGAAGTAGTTTGGCCTGAGAGTCTGTAACCGGCTCAAAATCACCCAATTAGCTCCATGGCTGAATGGAGATTAGAACCCAGATCACCTGAGTCCCAGTCCAGCATTATTAACCACTGCACTTAACCACTACACCAGTTCCATCCATGGGTGGTTCAGACCATCAACAATAAGATGGTTATATAAAATTCCCATATACTAAAACACAAAACAGTCAAAACATCTAAAACAGCTTCTTAAAAAATCTAGACTTAATTTAAACAGGCAACATAACCCATCTTATGCAACTAGATGCCATTAAATGTCTGGAAATACCAGGCAGTGTTAACCTGATGCTTAAAAAATGACAAATTTGGCACCAGGTGGGCCTCATTGCAAAGATCATTGTATAATTGGGGAGGCATGACTGAGAAGCCCTCTTCCTTGTTGCCTCATTTTAAGCCTAACTTGGAGTTATTATAGATGCTAAACAACACTGGTCAGGCAGGTACTCTGAGGAACACTATCATTCAATGGACAGGGGTCTGAGGAACAGTCACCCAGTGTTACTCTCTGGAATCAACCCTGCAAGTGAGACGAAAACCACTGTGACGCAGCGCCTCCAATATCTAACCCGTGTAGTCAGTCCAAGATACCAAGGGCAACGATATCAAAATCTAATGTGCGACTGAGTAGAATTAAGGAAGTCACACTCCCTCATCCCTCTCCCAGGGTGTTTATCATTTATTGCGTCAGTTGGTCATCTTGGAATTATGAATATGTTCTTACATCTAAAAACATTAAGTATCATATTTACCTTAGGACAGATGGTTTTGAAAGAGATTGGTGGGCAAACATGAAAAGATTTAATCAACAAATTCCACAATCCAGCAAAAAGAGAGCTCTGCGTGCCCAATTCATATTCATAATTACAAAATGACCAGCTAATAAGAAAAAGATATTTTTCCTTTTGATGCATATAAAACTTCAACATTTCCATATTCATTAAAATGTCTTAAACACAATACAGCATTGTAATAATGATAATACAGTAATAATAAAGTAACTGCAGGTACTGGGGGGAGTGGGGAGAATATGTGCAAGTATATAGTATTGTAAAAAAACAAACAAAAGAAACAGTTCTTAAACCAGTTTAGAACATTGAGGTAACATTGAGCCTAAACTTATGACAGGGTTGATAAAAATAAATGATTTTTTAAAAATAAAAATGGATTTTTAAATTTTAAATTGGATTTTTTAATAAAATGCTTTTTGAGGAAAATCTATCTAAAGATAGTTTTCTATTTAAGATATATTATAGTGCACAGGTGAAATGAAATAAAGGATTGGTTGAAACATGAAATAAGGATTAGTTTTTAATTATGTAGCTGTATAGTCATGCAACGTTTGAATTTTTTTTACAAATGTATTCCATTAATCCGTTCACAATGTCAATTTCTTCCAGAGGTTTCTGTAAGATTATTGGGCAATTTTTCTGTCTAGAAGATACCACAGATGCTTGGTTTTACAGTTCTGAAACTGTGAATGTCTGCAGAGATCACATGCCTCTACTTTACAGCTAAAATGTTATAAAATAAACATACAGAGTTGAGAAAAACAAACCTTAATCCCTTTGTTCCTTTGCAAATCTGTGTACACAGAATCAACCCATTATGTCTTAAGTTTCAAAAAATTCAATGAACAAAAGACTATTGAGAATTAAACAGAACTACACAAGAAGCTAAGTACGAAGAAAGGGCGGCAAGAATAAAAATGAAAGTGAAACCCTTTGAGCAGACTATTCCTTGGGTCTTTGGATCTTTTTGTGTATAGCCTGAGGTTTATCATATTATTCTTTCCTTAGAGGAGAAAACCTATAATGGCAGCAGGCCATAAAAAAGACCAAGTTTGGGAATATTTTAATGAAGTTCCTCTATCTACAAGCAAACAGGCATTCATGCAAATTAAGTAGAAAACTATGATTTAAATCTAGTCTTAAATCAAATCCACCCAGACTGATGATGATGGAGATGGACCTGGTGCTGGAAAGTCAAGGTTTGTTTGTGCTGCTGGGGAGGGGCTGCCTAGTACCACAGAGATATCTGTGGCTTTTCTCTATGAAATCCTTCATATAGGATTTATGACAGTTCAACCATTCATAAATACAGGTTGTTCATGATTCGGAAGTCCGTAACCTGCAGACAACCTGTATTTGGTTTCCAGATTAAGTTAAAAAAGAAAGTATGTCTTGAATGATACTATTTAACATTGTAACCCTTTGCCTGTTTATCCAGAAGTAAATCATAGAAAACCCAGTGACCCACCTAGTCCAGCCTTCTGTTCACACTGTGGCCAACTAGCTATCCACAGGAAACTCTCATGCAGGACATGAGTGCAACAGCACTTTCTCAACAACTGCCATACAGAGGAGGAGGAAGCATACAGCCCTCAGGAATAGAACCCATGGCTACATGCTGTGAAAGTGAATTCTGTAGTTTAAGTATACCTTGTGTAAAGAAATTCCTTTTGTGTGTCCTGAATCTCTCCCCATTTAGCTTCATGGGATGACCCTGGGTTCTAGTATGAGAAAGAGAAATGTCTCCTCATTCACTTTCTCCATCCCATGCATAATTTTGTATAGCTCTGTTATATCACCCTCCACCCATCAATTTTCTAAGCTAAACAATCCCAATGGTTCCAACTTTTCTCATAGCTGAGACACTCAAACCCTTTATCATGTTAGCTGTCATTTTCTGCACTTTATATAGCTCTGTGGTCATTGAGACTTACCTGGCAAGTAAAGCTTCACCCCTAGTCTTATAATTTGCCTTTTCAGTGCTGGTGAACTTTTGCATGCATCCATCAATGCCAGTGTCAAAACAGATATAAAATTGCATTTATCTTGGCCAGCGGAGCTGATGGTTTCCTCACCTGTAGATGTCTTAACCCTAAATCCACCTGTTTGATGCAGCCCCTTTCTCAGCCTCTTTTAACTTTGATCCAACCCAGTTGTCATTATTTTCCTCCAGAAATGATTTAGTGGGAATTTCTCTGTTCAGGATCTTTCTGCCTCTGGCCTTATTCTCTCAACTGACATGAAGTACTATTTTCTGTGCATGGGTTCTTATATAGCTTAAAAGAACCGGTCCTCCTCAAGAAGGAGAAAACAGAAACCCAAACTCCAGAAAACCCAGAGTTCAAGGAGTACAAAGAATCTTTAGGGCTCCTTTCCATGCACCTGGAAAAGATACCTCAACAAAGACAGAACATACCACTGGGAATAGAATGCTGAGGCATGGGGAGAGAACAAAAAGCCCAAGATAGTGGGAGGAATGGCATGGCTCAGCTGATTAGCACCCCAAACAGGAACCCTTCATGCTGCAATGTAGTTATTTCAGGTCCCACTAGTAAAAGCTAATATGGTTTAGAATAATCATCAAAAAGTATGCACTGAAAGTATTTATTTTATTTTGAGTATGTGGGAACATCTGCCCAGTTAGCCACTCCTGCCCAACACTTTTGGGCCAGGTAGACTCAAATTTCTTTTTCTCAAGGAGAGGAAGAATAATGGGTATCTTCACAAAATAAAGCTGACCCTCCAACGGTATCCTCAAAATTCCATTTTTTAAAGGGAGCAAAGGCTGAAAAAAAAAGGAATTATTGTCCAAGTGCAAGGAAAGAAATAGATATATGCCTTAAAATATTGCTTTGTCCAGTACCAGTGGGGCTGTTCTACCATGAATGGCCCTTTCATCAAAATACTGCTGTTCTCATTCAAGCTACACAGCTGAAAGTGGTATGCTTAACTCATGCCACTACCCTGAATGGAACTAGTGCTAACCAAGGGCACACTATTCCTATCACATTTCACTATCTAGAATGATGCTATCCAAAACTTTAGCCCACCTTGCCTGGTTTCTGGCAAGGTTTCTGGGTAGAAGATACTTTTAAATTTACAAACCAACCCAATTCCACAGCCTGCTCTCCCAGCATTTAAGAACAATTTGTATTAATCCAGCTGGTTTGGGAAGTGATCACTATTCCATATGAATGGATAAGCTGCCACCAAGCCAGAGTGTGATTATGCACGGAAGAGTAGCAAATACAGCTGACAGTAACCTGAACCGTTTGCTATCTCAAGCACTGATCAGACCTGCCTAGTTTCAGCAAAGTCAATGTTTTATACTACATCTGGATTTATACAGAGTGTAAATTTAGGTGGGGGCAAAGGTTGCTGCCAGGATAGTCAGGCAAGAAAGCTCTGAAGGGCAGGCCACAAATGACTGTAAGAACCCTAGATGTGCAGTCTCTAGGTTCTATTTCAATATCTTTAAAATTGGATATGATATTATTTGGGAGACTCATCCAGTAAACACACTAACAAAAAGCTGACCATGCATTTTTACTTTTTTTTTTTTTGCTATTACCTTTACTGAACGGAAAATAAAGCTCTTATTTTATTATTTATAAAGCCTGCCTCCTCTAGATAAATGGCTGCAAGAGCAGAAGTCCACCAAGCATAGCCAAAGAAAAAGAAGTCACACAGGTGAGCCAAACTCCAGGACATGAAAATGCAATTGTTTGAGCAAGACACGTTTTTGAAGTCTGGTAACTTTAAGAATAACAATGCTCTATCAATGGTGCATGAAATTAATTTGCCACCTGCTCTGTTAAATTCATCCGGTCTGCTTCCAGCTTCTGCAGAAGAAGGTGAAAGAAACTCATTAGCACTGCTATACATGGGGACTCCTAAGCACTGATAACACACCAAGATGGATTTGTATTAGAGCTGGGGAAAGTGACCTGAGATTTGCTTGAGGCAGTGCACCAATCCTGGGACTGAACAGACAACAAAGGTCAGAAGAAGCTCCCTGAGGCTTAGAGAAATATCTGTGGTGCAACAAGATGTGGCTCCAGCCTTCCCATCTGCTAGTCTCCATCATATGTATACTCACCTGGTGGACAACATAAATGCCATAATCCAGCTGCTGCCTCTGCAAAAATGGGTGAAGGTACTCCAGCAGATACAACAGGTGCTTCTCTCGATTGCGGTGTGGGATCAGTATAGCCACTCGCTGCTGAGCTGAGCAGTCTTTGGGGTGATAACGTCCTTTCACCACCTGCGGATTCTCTCTCTGCACTTCCTCCAGGGTCATGGAGGCTTTAAATGTAAGCTTGCTAGGTCCCCCTATTACAGGAAAAGCAAGTCTTGTTTTCATAAAAATAGCTACTAAAAGTAGGCTTACTGGGGGGGGGATCCTATTGCATAGGAAAATGTCTAATTCCCTATAAAATTACTATATTCAGGATGTTTATTTTACTTGTACGTAGAGAACAAAACTTTAAGCACCCAATGCTGATTATTTTGTCACACCACAATGCAAGTATCTGACCAGAAGCATTTAAAGAAAAAAGTTAAAGCACATAGTACAGCTGAAATATGATACTATTATGATGTGTCATCAAGTAATCTTTGACTTATGGAGATCTTATAAACGAGTGCCCTCCAAAATGTCCTATGCTGGTCAGCCCTGTTCAGCTCTTGTGAACTCAAGACTGTGACTTTCTTTATAGAATCAATCCATCCCATAGCTGGCCTTCTTCTTCTTCCTCTGACTTTCCCTAGGTGTTAGTGTCTTCTCCAGAAATGTTATATTATGTAGTCATCTTAAAACTGAATTAAGCATTTACAAGATGATAGCATGCACTTCCCTTACATTGTTTAAATTTAAGGGGAAAATGCAATGAGCAGGAAAACTGCAGACACACCGTCCTGATTTGCACGGCGCGGTTAGGTTCTGTGGGTTGTTTAAATCACAGTGAGCTACAGTGTATGCCAGGCACCATTTTCAATATGCAACCCTTGATCAGGGAATTGGGGAGGGGCGGCTGCAGGCTGTGTCATGTTATGCAAATTCTGTCATTGTAGATTATTCAAGCATTAAAGAACCTTCACATAAACCATGATTATAGTAGGTTTATTTGAGCATTAACCCTTGAAAAACCCACAATGGCTGGTTATGCACACTGAATACATGCCACATAACCCGTGGTAAATTGGTCACAGACTGCAAACCAGTATAATGCTAATATAATTTAGCAATCCAAAGTTTGTTGCTTTATATGCTGACAGCAATTCATCTATTTCAAGTCACTTGCACATAAGTTATTGGGGCACCTTCAGTTTAGCTGTCTCTATGTATTAGTTCTATCATATACTGAGACATGTATATATTATCTCACATAACTGCAGATAGTCTCTTGAAAAAAATGAATTAAAACCAACCTTCTCTATTGTTTTAATTTGGAATTGGCATCCATTCACTATATTATCAATGAACTCAAGATGTATTTATTGCTGCATCAAAATAAAGACATCACAGTCTTACATGGTACACTAAAATCCTTCATAAGCTGCTCTTAAGCCGCAGGCTGTTCTTCCAGTTGCTGGAAGATAGGGGCAGGAAAAGGAGGAGGTAGTCAGTCTCCTTCCTCACCCTATAACCCTTTCAGTGTGATCCTGCATCTCCTCAGACAGGCTTCTGTTAGACTCCCTGGGACTTTTGGTTCCCAGTCAAGAGAATCATCATAACATGTGACTCCAGAACTGATAACTGCCACTTGCAAACCCAGAAGGGAACAAGCCCAAGCAGCAAAGCAGGAGAGCACATGAGATTTAAGATGAAGGGCATGCTGATATGTTATTAGGAGCTGCTTTTCAATTGCTGGGCAGCTCTGCCTGGCCATAACTGAATAATGAAATTATGTGAGGTGGTTAGATCATAGAGGAAATGCCTGTGTCAGCGCTACTGCCTGCAACCCCTCAGGATATAGCACAGACAAGGGAAGTTCCCAAATAATCCGGCCTTCTCATGCAACCATTATTCATCCAATAATAGAGCAGCACAAGTTCCAGCCACAACACTGTAAAATACAAGTCAGGTTTTAAAATGGCACTAAAGGTGCTTTTGCCAGACACAATAATACAATGTCAGGAGGGGAAGGAGAGTCAAGAAAGTGGCAAGGCTCCTTTTTGCAAGTTAAATGGGAATCTCTCTAGGTGCAGAAAACTGATTCAACCTAAGGAATGAGAGAGACCTGCATGGGGTTCTTAGCTCAGGCCAATAGAACCATAAGGTTTCCCTTAAGAGAACAGGAAAATTTGAAGAGACTTACGCAGATAGGGAGACACAGATGGGCAAGGGGATGTCACAGTAGGCAGTTTCACAGTAGGCATGGCATTCCTCTTTGGATCTTCCTTTCGCTCCTCTGTGATAGTGGTTGGCTTCCTGAAACTTCCCACCATATTTTTCGCCCTTGGAGCTTCATGCAGAGCACCCTCCAGGTAAGTGGAGGTGGCCCAGCCCACCAGTAAGACACACAAGGTGAAGAGCATCAGCAGCTTGAGCTTGTAGGAGACATGAAGGCTGGCATAGCTCAAGCCCATGGCCCTTCTTGGTTTACAGGCTTGCTCCCTGACACTGCCTCCGGTGTATCACTGTCACAGTGCACTTCAAGTAGAGCAGGATGGTCAAAATGAAACAAGGAGTTCTGTGGTGCTGCATTCTGACAAGTTTCCTTCAGTTTCTGAACGCATGTCTTTCTAGCTCAGTGCGAAGTGGAAAGCAGACATTACAAGTATTCACCTGTTCAGAACAAGAGAAAAACAGATTCTTCCTCATACACTTTTATATTCATCACCCTGCAGAGTTTACCAACAGCAAGTAGAATGCAAATGCTAGAATAATACACACTGGGAATGGTGTCTGCACAAAGACTACACAAGTTCAGTTGATCTATACATGGTACAAATGTGTATTTACAAATGTAAATACATGTGTCATATGTATACTTTTGCACATGTTTTTCAATCACTTGACTCCAAACCCAATGCCATATCATTCGTAGATCAATTAGTTCTTGTGTGTTGCAACTGTTATGCAAATGCTGCCATAGAGCAGTTACAGAGGTTTGGGAAACAAGGTTTATTCTTTACTTTGAAAAAAGCACTACTTTAAGTTTCACAGGTTAATAGGGAAACGAATACTAATTTCATAATTGCCTCCCTAACACCCTAACCCTAAGAATCCCTAGTACTACAGCTCCGTGACAAAGAACATGCTTTGCATGTAGAATGGCCTTCCCCAAGCTGTACCCTCCAGATCTGCTGGACTGCAACTCCCAAAAAGAAAAGTAAGGATTGTGAGGTTTGCTAGAAGAGGCCCCTTCTTGTTTAGCCCTTTCTCCCAGCTCCTGATGTAAGCAACAAGCAGGCATGGATCAACAGGAGGACTCCTCCAGCAACACAGTAAGGCCTAGATGCTTCTTAAAGCAAAGCAGTCTGGACCAGGATCTGAAAAATGTGGGTGCATGTGTACAAGTTGTAAGCAAGCACAATTTCTGACACTGCAAAGCATCACTACTGATCATAGGGCACATCAGTGAAGGAATCAGCCACAGCATCCTGACTTTGTGGAACTGCATTATAAACTATGGGTAACAGGAAGAAATAAAATAAAATATAGAAGAGTAAACCAATAAGCCACACTGTTACATTACATTTTGAAAACTATGTTTTTTAAAAGCAGCTGGTAATATCCTCCAAACTTCATGAGCTATTTGGAATTGGAAAATGCCTTGGGGATGGATGCTAAAGTTGGTGGCAGGTAGGCCTTGGCAAGGAGATTGTTCCATAATTTGGGAGCTACTACAGAGAAGGCCTTCCTGCAGCACCTGGACAGCATCCTTGAACTGAACCAACTGAAACTCATCCCCCAACCCAAAAAAAAAGGGAAAAAAAAGAAAAAAGATCAAATTCGGCTCTAGGAATTTCACCAGATTCAGCTGCAGCAAAAACTGGAGTCTAATTCCTAACGAATGCAAGAGATTTCATCCGGGAAGTTCCTAGCAAATACATTACAGCAGGCCTCACACAGGCCTAAGATATTCTGGGGCCAAGTGTGCAATAGGTCCCAGATGATTCTGAACAGGTCTTCTGGGTGGCAAATAGAAAACTGGACAGAAGCGGTGAGATGTTGCTGTAGAGTTCAGCCATTCCTGCGGTATCCTGGGTGAATATGCACCCAGAACTCCCCAGCCCCAGCAACCTAGAATCAGACACACTGGATTCCGCTCATGCCCATCCAAGTACCTGGGGAAAACAGAACATTATTGAACAGAAAACTCACAATAGGAGTGGAGGATTTAAAAGTGTGAGCACTCAACAACACAGACCTCCACCCACCCACACACACACGAAAGGGAAAGGAAAATTGGAAAGCAGCATAAAAATGTCAAGTTCAAATCCTAAACACAATTCCCTTTGAGCATCTCAGACTTTAAACTACAAAGCGAGCTAACCCACCACTAATGCCAGATAGAATACTTAGCTAGGTTTTCTTGCAAGTAGCATAGCAAGGAACAGCTCAACAGAACCTCTGGACGCAACTGGCTTCTCTCCAAAGAGGGAACAAAGGCCTTCCTGTAGATTCCAGATGCAAGGTGCAATTTATAAGTTCCACTACGTGAAATCCAACTTATGTTGCCTAGGCCAGTCAACATCTGAGGATTTCTGCATATCCTTTGAGGTTCCTTATAAGGTTTATAACAGCTGTAATTCCAGCCTTAAATCCTAATTTCCAGAAACACAGGACTTGTCTTTGAGTATGGCTTATATCAAAACTTTGAGACTGATATAGTAAATCATGGATGCAAAGCTTCAAGTTTTATATTATTAGCTAACATTTTTGTAGGCAGCTGAATTTAGAAACTTGCAATGATACAAATTGGCTGGAAACTTAGTTTGAAAAGGCCCCCTTTCCTGGTGATTTAAAGCACCTTGGTTTAGGAACACTTCGAGAATAGGACTTGAAGAACCTGATGCATGGTGTTACTACAAAAGAATAATACTGTATGTGCTAAGTGGGATGGTACACATAGAAATGTCATCAGGTTTCCGGCTGTAATCTAGAACATTTTTTCATAATTTTACACTAAAAAGAATGTCTTTCACAGCAGTCATGATAAATAAAAACTATGGTGATATAGCTACATGATCTGCATTGTATTATGACACAGAACATGATACAGCTGTAAGTTAAGTACAGGATAGCTGAAAGTGTTGGGCTTTTCCCATTATTAACTATGGACTGCATTTTTGAGAACAGTTGCCATTTATTTCCTCTAACTTATAAATAGCAATGGCATTTTTATGTAATGGGAAAACCCTACAAGTAGAAGACTCCAAAGCTTCTGTTTTATTATTGGCTTGGCAATTGTATAGGCCATTGATGTGATTATCTGGGATTATCTTTACTGAGAATTAATCATCCATTTAGGCAAACAGTGATTAACCATTTTGAAATCAGTAAATAATAGCAGAAGGGCCAAGGAAAGAAATGTCGCACAGATTGTACTAGAGAAAGAAATAGATTCTCTTAAGTAGTCATTGCTTGCTCAATCAGTCCGAGTAATACTTAGTCTGTGGAACAGCATGTTGACAACCACTGTAAGATAGACCTCTCCCTCTGTTGAAACCTAGCTAAAGCATTAAGACTGTTCCAGTGCAAAAAGGCACATGATGTATATAGGAAGGGATACATTGGTAAGATACTTAATGGGTGCACAGAAACTAGATCTTGAGATGTTTTGGACTTCAGCCCCCAGAATTCCTGACCACTGGCTACGCCAGAAGAGAAACCAACCTCCTGCCCAGCCTGCTTTAAAAGAATATCAGAAAGGCCAGGAAAGCCTAGACTGGACTCCAGAGTGGTAATCTTTATACCTGCATATCATATCATTATATGAATGGAGAGGAGTAAATCTTTTAAAAACTGCTGGCATACTCTAAGGAGAGCCTGGAGACAAATCATTCAGCCACTTCCCAGAGTTCTACAAATGCTTTTAAACCAATTATTTTCCTGATTTTTCAGGAATTCATAATAGGGTTTCATCTGCCAATGCATACTCTGTGCTGAAACCTTTCTGCCATATGATGAAAATCTAGTCAGATACAGGCTGCACCAGAAAAGAAGCACTCACATGAGAGATGCAGCTCGCTTGTGTTTTCTTACCGTTTGACCCAAGAGAAAGTAAGCCCATTAGACTTACTTGATTCTGCCACTGCTCTCCTTCCTGCGGTGAAGCTGTTTTGTTCTTACTGCAGCTAAGACAGCTCATGTGCCAAGCACCAGGCCACTTTCCAGTCATGAAATCCAACACCATAAAGAGCCCTCTGTTGCGTCTCACAGATCCAGGAGGAGGAGTCTGCCCAAAACTGCCGGAACCACTAAAAGAAAGTCAACAGTTTCAGCCTTTCCCTATTAAATGCCATCCCTTCCCTGCTTCCTATGCATTTTATTTTCCCCACCCATTTCCCTTTCTGTCAAGAGATGGAAAGAAGGCACATCAGGGAACTCAGAGAGCTAGTGCAAGAAAGCAGTCAGAGACGTTTATGAAAATAGTCTGATGGAATTAGTTGTCAAGCATACAAGTAGCCCTTCAGATTTCTGTCACTGTGGAACTTCTTCCCAGGGTATATCACTTACTCTCCACATCTTTTACTGCTTTCTAACCTCCATGATACAAGCACAAATGCTAAAGAGGTTTAACAGAGCTCTCAAATTATGGACACAGAAAGCTGGCCATGAAGTCACATTTGATTTCAAAAGAGGCTTCTCAAAGTTGAGGAAATGTGATCAAAACAATCCCAAATTGAGATCTGGCCTGGTCAGTGTTGTGAATGAACAAGAACAAACTTGCAGTGGGAGCAATCGGGCAGCAGAAACCAGCACACTTGATTGTTCACAGCAACCCAGTTTTAAAATTCCTGGACAGCTGTGATGTGTGAAAGTCAGCAATACAAGCTCAGTACATAGCTCAGATTAGGAAAGGTTAAAAAAGAGGTATCAGCATTACACAGTAGTTAAGAGGCAAGGTAGCCATAACAGGCAAGAAGGAACAAAATAAGAACAAAAATGAGTAGAACTCAGATAAAACAAATCTAGTCAACAATATGGGAAGTAAATAAAGATCCTAAGAAACATGCTGCTAAAAATATTAAGATGATACTCAAATGAATATATTTCGTTAAACATGCCCAAATCAGAACACTTTTAAAAAAAATCTGGACTTTGTTTGCTCTTTTTGTATATTTTGTATTTATTGTACTATTCCTGTAAGTGGCTCTGAACTCATTGAAGAAAAGTGTAGAATGAACTTTTAAAAATAAGTAAATAGTAAGATCCTCTAAGGATTGTTCTATACTTTTCATACATGAGCTGGACACAAGGATGAGCAGTGAGGATGCCATCTTTGCAGATGGCACCAAATAATTCAGGAGGATGAACATTCAAGTTAATGGCAAGTTCCAAAAATATATTTCCAGACTAAATGAATGGGCAACATGGCAATATAAGTAACATAAAAATATAAAAATACTGAGTCAGACCACTGGCTCATTTACCTTAATATCACTGGCAATGTCTAGCAGCATTTCAGGCAAAGTTTTTTTCCAGTCCTTCCTAGAGATGCCATGCAGATGCCTTCTACATGCAGGTCTACAGCCATCACAGTAAGTGAAATAGTGATGCACATTAAGACAAAGCACCCTAACTTCACATATACACTGAGGAGGAATGAACTGGTGATGTCTAAGCAAAAACAAAAACTTGCAGCTGTGATGGATTGCTCAATGAAAACGCTACTACAGCGTGAAAAAGGCAAATTCCATAACAGAATTATAAAGAGGACTGGGAATAAGGTGAACAGGATCCAAATGCCTTTATGGAAATCTACTGCATGGCTGCATTTAAAATGGAATATTCAGTTCCAGTTGCCTTATTTCAATAAGGATATTGTAGAGCTGGAAAAGGTGCAGAAAAAATGAAGCAAAATGTTCAAAGGGCTAGACCACAATTCTTAAAATAGAAAGATGCTGTCATACCATATGGTTATAAAAGGGGATTAGACCTACCATTTACTGACTATTAATCATGGTAGCTAAAAGAAACCTCCCTAATTGTTCAGTGTGAGAACAGGATACTAAACTAGCAGCACCTTTGGTTACATCCAGCAGAGCAGTTCTTGCATTTTATAACACAACGCAAAACTCTCCAACACAAAAAGGCTCACTTACATATCACTGAGCTGGTCTGTTCTCACTGATGACACTGCATTCATTCAGAGTATAAAGAGCTGTTATGCTTCCATGTTGTAAATGTAGAATTACAATGGCTCTCCCCAGATCTGTTCCAGAGCAACACTCCCAACACTCCTGAGAAAATGTGGGGGCATGGGAAGCTATAAGAGGCAGGGAAATCAGCACTGGATACAACCCAGTGTCTCTTTATTCTATTAGTATTACTGTTGTACTGTTGCTTCCCTGTTATGTTGTAACAATCTCATGCTAGAAAGAACATGTGATTTGCTACATTGGCCTTCCCTCTACAGAATATTGGCAAAGAAAAGGAGCAAACACCATTTCAGATTCCTGCTGACTTGGAAGTGTGGCTTCAGCAATAGAACAATGAGTAATACATCTAGAAGTGACACGTTACCTCAAAACTAGAGGAAGTAAGCATACTGCAATAATTACTGGGCATGGTTTGATTAATATTAAACTAGTTTCACTAATACTGTTCAGAATTACATGTAAAAAAATTGACCTGGAGAAGTTACTTTTATCACTGTTTAAATGATTCTCAATTCCACTGAAAAGAAAGGCTGGTGATAGAAAAGGATCCAGTTAGAAAAGATTTTATGCTGCAGAGCTTGTATAGGAAAAGAATCTCAAGGATTGTACTATAACTGAAAGAATAACAGCAGGAAGGATGGACTGCATTCCATTTGAAAAGAGAAAAGCAGCAACAATACCCTAGAGCATACATAGTTATAACCAGTTAGTATATCAAATCAATTTGGCTGGGAATGGAATGAGGGAGGGGGGTCATTACATGCCATCAGAAAGGTTTGCTACAAGTTGGAGACTATGAATGACCATCCTCCCAAATGTCCTGACCTTGATAGCCCTCCTCAGCTCTTATAAACTCAAGGCTGTGGCTTCCTTTGTGGAATCAATCCATATCATATTTAGTTTTCCTCTTCTTTTTCTGCATACAACTTTCCCTAGCATGTTGTCTTCTCCAGTGAGTCTTGCCTTCTGATGAAGTGCCTCAAGCTTCAAGTTCATCATTTTTACCTCTAGAGAAAGTTCCAGCTTGATTCGATCTACAACCCACTTGCTGGTCTTTCTGTTGTTCCATGGTATTCAAAAAGCATCTTGGTATTCCATGGTATTCAAAAAGCATCTTCTAGCATCTTGTTTGAAATGCATCAGTTTTCCTCCAGTCAGCTTTCTTCACTGCCCAGCTTCCACATCCATACATGGTTATCAAGAATACAATAGTGTAGTTGATTTTCACTTTGGTGTCCAGTGGAATGTCCAGTCATTTGATGATCCTTCCCTTCATTACTGCCCTTCCATGTCTCAGTCTTCTTCAAATTTCTTGGCTGCAGTCACCATCTGAACAGATGACTGAGCCAAGATATGCACAACCTACCACAATTTCAGTTTCGTCTTTGTTAACAGAAAGGTTCTGTAATTTGTCTGTAGTCATGTTTGTTCTCTTAATATTACTCTACAGTCCTGCTTTTGTACTTTCAGCACTATATCTTCTGCCAATTTCCACTCCTCCTTCCTCTGCTCACAATTTGGCTTTCTTTATGGTATGTTCTGTGTACAGATTGAACAGGGAAATGAAATATTCAGTTGCAGTCCTCCTTCGGCACTTTCTTCTTTCATGTTCACTGAGAGTTGTTTCAATTCATTGCTGCTTTCTGTGAGTAGTATATCATCTGCATATCTTACATTATTGATATTTCTTCTGCCAATTTTCACTCCTTCCTCTTATTCTAATCCAGTTTTTCTTATTATATGTTCTACATATGGATTGAGCAGATAGGGATATAAAATATACCTTTGCCTATAGGAACCATTCTGTTTCTCCATATTCTGCTCTAGGAGTAGCTTCTTCTCCAGATTATAGGTTATGCATCAGGACAATCAAATGCTGAGGGTCACTTATTTCTTTCAAAACCATCCATAGCTTATTGTTATCCATACAGTCAAAGGCTTTGCTATGGTCTATAAAGCACAGACTGATTTTTTTCTTGAAATTCTTTGTAGCATTCCACTAGCTAGTGTATATGTGCTTGAATCCAGCTTGAATGTCAGGAATTTTTCACTCTATAAATAGGTTCAGACTTCTAACTAGTACATGGGTTCTGCCTACAAAACTTGATGAATACCAATGTTTATGTATCTTCTACAACATATGCCATATCCTCATGTACAGCAAGTACAGTTACGGCAACTGTCTTATTATATTATGTCAGCACTACACAAGGTTATGCACAGTGACACGAGTTTCCCCAGAAAATTTAAAGCTAAAAAATTTCCTATGCAAACTGGCCTAATTTCCATCAAAAATTGTTCAGTCTGTGTGGAAACACTTTCTGATGTCCTAAACAGTAATTGAATTTGCTTTATTTTACTTATATTTCATAAATATAAAGCTAAAATACCAATACATAGTACAATAGTATGTACATCCCTACATTGTTTAATTGTATGAAAAAAGGGAAAGTTCTCAAAACAGTTGACACAGTAATTCAACCTTCCCTAGTCTGTTGCCAGCCAGAAGGATTGGACTACAAGTCCCAGCACCCTCATGCTGGCTTGGCATAGTGATGCTTGTAGTCTAACACATCTGAAGGATACCAGAATGCAGAAAGTGGCAATGATTCATTTTAGTAACCCAAAGAATTGTAACTGTTCACTGGTTTTCAGCATATCATGCACAACAGAGCTCAGTTTTCTTTCATGAAGCCTGTTTGGACACCTCTGGTGTCTCCTTCACTACTTATTAGTGTTTTTTCTCACTAAAACATGCATTTCAATTGGTATATATGTCTTCTTTTACATACTTGCTAGGAATTATCACTTGAAAAATATTAATTACAACATTGAAATGTTTAGGCTTACCTAATAGTGTATATGTCATAGGCATCCATTAATTATTACTAACATACTTATAAAATGATTTTTCCCCCTGTGGAAAAAAGGAAGCACTGGGAATTTTTCCAGTAAATTTTTCCTTTTGGATACTTTCCCCTCAATTTCATCAGTTATGCACACTCTCCTTGCCATATTGCAACAACATTATAATTATCCATCTTTCCTATTTCAGTGGTTTTTGATACATAAATGAATTGTGGTCCTGCTAGGATTCTGCTTTAATCTGGTTAATGAAAAAATAATACTACCACCACCTGGAATCTACTATCAGTACATATGGTATATGACAGTCCCTGAGTTGTGAATGTCCAAGTTATGAACATCTGTACTTGCAAACAAACTGCCATATTAATTTGATAATTCATGTTAAAGACAAACAGTTTGTAGTAGTGAATGCAAACTTGTCTCTGTGACCTACTGTGAAAAATCATCACCACCATAGAAAGAGAGGAAGTGGAAGGGGAGAGGAGGAGGTTCCCAAAGCATGCCTTCTTCCCAGTCCATCTGGAGAGGGAAAGCCCTCCAGCAATTCCTTAGTACAAACAAGGCACTGGTGAGTGAAAGGGAGAGCAGGGAATAAAAACATTAAAATGTAATAAATGAACACCAGACCAGCCTGAGAGAAAAGGAAAAGCAATCCAGTGCAAAAATGGTCAACAGTATTAAGAATTAAGGTTGGGGGGAGATATTCCTGGTTTTTTCACTTTCGTGGAAGTCCTGCAACCCTAACTCCATGAATGAGGGCCAACTGTATACGTAAATGTTTCTTAGGTGTTTTATCTGCATAGAAAAGTAAAATATACATGTATTCTAAGACAAACATTTGGCTTACTCATGTTAAATATGACCTGTATGCATGTGATCCAACTTACATACAAATTCAACTTAAATATGCTCTCAAGAATGGAACTTATTCATAACCTGGGGATTGTCTGTACTATATGTGTGTGTACATATTCACAGTGTATGTATATATTTCCTAATGGAACTTGCAATATTTCTATGACTGCAGATGTCCTCTCTGGCAACAAAAAGTAACTGGTTTTACAAGCTATGCCTCAGTCTTTCAAGGAAGAAACGTTTTTCATGTCTTCTTTTCTGCACTAAATAAATCCCTTGATGTCACCTACATCAGACACCTAGCATCAAACCTCAAAGGCTTTTCCCCTTATGGTGTCTAGTCCAAAGGAATATACAGTGATCTCAAGTGAGAGAAAGTTAGCTGGAATTCAGCTACTGAAATTAATGGGGAAGTTAGTTATCTGTATACCCATCTGGCTTGCAGAAGTGGCTCATAATGTCATCATCGTAAGATATATTTCTGTTCATGCTGATATCTTCCACATGACAGTTGGAAAGCAAAGGGTCCAATTAATTCTATGAGCTTTTAACTATGTTTCGGCAACACCTTGCTTACTCAAGAATTAGTGTAGCTTCTAGGTACAAAACAGTGATGCAGTTTCTATTAGGGCAAAAAACAAACAATGCTCAATGTATCTTGAGATGAATTATTTCCTCAAGTGTTGACTGCATCCAGAAGCTCTGCTTAATTAAAAGTTGGCTTAATTAAAGAAATGCTGCACCCCTGCTGTATCAACACATCCATTTCAAAACAACCAACCAAATGAACCATGCTAAAAAAAACAGTACTTTAAAAATGACATTAAATAGCAACCTTTACTCTTTTTAGACACACACAGGTTTTCTGTCATCTCAGTGAGTGACCGCAATAGTCTGATTTACAAAAGCTGAAATCCCTATGATACTATTTTGGGAGTGAGCCCAGTCACATGCAACAGAACGTTCAAGTAATCAGAAGAAGAACTGGCCAACCAGGCACAACTGAAACACCACGTAAAGTAAACCTTCTCGTTTAACTCTAATCCCTCCTAGTCTCGACTCAGCCATGGAGTCAACCAGTCACAGACTCACAGCCCAACCTACCTCACAGAGTTGTTGTGAGGATAGTACTGAGAGGAGAAAGAGGAGGATATAAGATGCTTTGAATTCTTTAAAAAAGAAAAAGACAGGATGTAAATCTGATAAATAAAAGCCATTGGTGAATGGGCAGAAGCAGGGAGCTGCTACTTGCTTTTGGCCACTGGCCAATCACTGCCTTTAAGGACCACAACTGCTAAATAACATGGGAAGGACTTTGCTCCAGATAGTT